TCCTCATGTCTACCGTCCGTGCTGGAGAGGCCAAGCGAACTTTCAAGGATGTCCTGCTCAAGGCAGCTGTAAGTCGACATGCACGCATTCAAGTTAGGAGAGATGACGGGGGGGGGGGTGCTTGTGCTACCAGCTTTCAAGCCTCGGAACTTGGGTAACAAACTAGCACAAGAAGCACAGAAGCCAGTTGAAATCTCGACGTGGCTTTTCGTACCATTACTGTTCAAAGTCGGTACAATGGTGATACAATCAGCAGCAAACACGTCTGATGGTTTTGTTTGCTATGCGTGTGTGCGTGTGTATGTGTGTGTGTGTGTGTGTGTGTGTGTGTGTGTGTGTGTGTGTGTGTGTGTGTGTGTGTGTGTACATGGTGTGTGGTGTGGTGTGTGTGTGTGTGTGTGTGTGTGTGGTGTGGTGTGTGTGTGTGTGTACATGGTATGTGTGTACATGGTGTGTGGTGTGGTGTGTGGTGCATGCTCTGCACACAGGATGGTCTCGACGACCTGGACATGAGTGCAGCCAGTGCACCACCGCAGGTCAAGACGGCGCGCGTGGAAGACGATCCTGGTAGGTGGACGTGCATCGGAAGCAGTCACTGAGTTTTATACATGGAGAAGAACGTTTCGAGCAGAACTGCTCCTTCTCTACCAGCTGTCTAACCATGGAACTATGCTTTAACCCTTTACCTTCTGTGTGTACATGAATCGACCGAATTTGGTCGATGGACATGCATGCACTAAAACATTCGTAACTCGATCAATTCTCGACGGAATCTCAAAAACTAAATATATGGGAAGAAGCCGAAGAGCCCAGCTGTTCATTGCAACAATCGGCGAAGAGCTGCGATGCCGCATTCCAAAGATATCGCGCTCTACATTTCAGTTACGGCAAAAGTCGATTTTTTTTCTGAGTGACTGGCCTTGAGCTGGGGATTTTCCCTCTCCTGACATGCTGAGTCACCTGTGCATGTTTTGAGCGCGTGGGCAGCATAAAAAGAAACCCAGGACAACAAATTTGAAATGTTTACGATGAAAGAGTGAGAAATGGCAGACGAGGAGAGAATTTTCTCGGATACCCAGCGATGGGGAGTATTTGAAGCACCCTGGCGTTGGATATGTGATCTCAGTAGTGTCCAGTTTGAGCTCATTGTACGCAGCTCGTGGAGAGCTTTCCAGAATGCCCAAAAGTGTGAAAATCGGTTGATTATAACCAAAGATATTCTCAGAATGAGGTGAGAAATATCGTATTTGGAACTGCCTGCGAATTATGGTCAGAAGGTAAAGGGTTAAAGTATACTATAATTTCACAAATTTTCGGTGTACTTTCGGTGCGTCTGTTTCATACCTAAAATTACAATACTAACACTAACACACATAATCCAATAGGGAACTGCTTCTCTGCACCTAAAATTTCTGTTCACCTAACCTGGCCTTGTGCCCTCATACCGAAAATATTGAGCACCTAAAATTTCTGAAATTAGAGTATTTGCTCTGTCACATCGTCTTGTGTTACAGATGACCTACATACTGCTTAAACGCCTGTCTCATAAAAAAAGCCTGTGACGTTCTACCAAAACATGCAATCAAGCCACTGCTTTTATGCAAAACCGTACGCTATGCACGTAAATCATTTGGCGTTGGCAAGACGGCCACCCTCTGGTTGCCTGTAGCCTGTAGCGTTTCACCATTTTCACCAAGCTACACATGCACAAGCGTGCTTTCAGTGCTGCAGCCGAGATGACACGCAATATGGCTGGTTGTCATATGGCCGGCTTGTCGCACCAAGCGTTCTTGCTGCTTGTACCCGTGTGGACTCTTTCCCTACTGTTGGACTGATTTACGTGTCGCTACTTCTGCTGATGCCTGTCGTTGATTTGTGTTGTTTCAAATCTTTATTCTCACGATAGCCAGTGGCCAATAAGAGATAATAGTGTAAGAAAGGAGAAAGAGTGAGGAAGAATTGGTGGGCAGAGCCTAGGGGTTAATGATTGTTGTTGTTGTTGTTGTGGTCGTCGTTGTTGTTGTTGCTGTTGTTGTTGGCGTTCAGGCGTGAAGCTCTCTCACCCGCTCACCATCTACGTCCGCAAGTCGGAGGAGACCATCTACAACGCGGTCATGCTCTACTCTCTGACGGTGCAGGAAGTGGCCGAAAATGTGAGTTGCTGTTGGGCTTTCGTTTATTTCAAGGAATGATGCAAACGGGAAAAGTCTGAAGAAAAAATTGACTGTCACCACCACCAGGACTCGAACCAGGGACCCTCGCTTGTAGCCAGCGATGCTCTATCCTCTGAGCTATGTTGTAGCTGTCTTCCCAGCAGAGACCGTTTGTTTGTTTTTATTTTACTTCACCAGATGCTGTCTGTGTGTGTACCGTGGTGCAGTTAGAGTGTTTTTGACGGTTTCTGTATATCAACGCAGGCCCATAACTCCTGATGTGTGTCCCGGACCCAATCTGTAGCTGTGTAAATGCTACTTGCCTGGCATTAGTCTAAAACAATTTGAGCAGAGATTCAGCTTAGTATATCCTGTCAGATGTTGAATATAGTCAAAGTGCTGTAGATAATCGTGTGTGTATGCGTGTGTGTGTGTGTGTGTGTTCAATACAGATCAGTAAGCGTTATCACATCAACTCTGCCCTCATCAAGGCCGTGTACAAGCACACGAAGAAAGGGTATGTGCCAGCGTGACTGGGTCGTGTCAGACGGTGTGAAAATGATGCCATGCAGCATGTCCGTGTGTGTGTGGGGGGGGGGGGCTGATTGCCTGGATCAGTAATGCCTCTTTTGTCAAGGGAGACAGAGCATATTTTTCCAGTCGTTCAGATCATGTATTGCAGGGACTGGACAGTGAACACAATTATTCCAGCCCGGAGTTCTTTTTATCCACGCGCACCACCAGAAGTTGACATGAATGCCTACATCTCTGAATTTCACTCTGAGCATTCATTAACAGTAAGTAGGCAACGTGAAAGTCGCCCACTTTTGTGTGGCGGCGTGTGCAGGAAGAGTCCCTGAATGGCTTGTGCTGCTGCTTCTTGTGCTTCTTGTGGCATTCAGGATTCTTGTGAATATGGAGAATCGCATGGTGGAGTGCTTTGAGAACGAGGACGACCTTGTTGTTCGCTTTGAGCAAGACAAAGCCGCCGGGGGATACACGCTGTATTTGAGTTACTGAAAGCTGCGCGGAGACGTGCCCTCCGCAGCGCACGCTACAAACACGTACACGCTCGCTCACGCACGCACTTACAAACACACACGCTTACACACATACGCGCACACGTACACGCGCGCACTGCGTCGCGAAACGCAGTGTTGATCTACGCTTGAGTCTGTTCTGCTGTGCTTGACCTCGGTAAGATTTCTTTCAATCTTGTCGTAGCTTTCAGTGGTGAGCTGGAATGGTCCTTGTCTTGAAGTGCTGATTTTGTCCTGTTCTGTTCGCTTAGGTAGTCAGTTTTATTATTCGCAACTATGCTAGAAATCACCACATACAGCTAATGGAGGTGTTCCACAACCCCATGCTGTTTTTAGTCTTATTTTTAATATTCCCCGCTTCTGGACGTTACCCTGATGGTCCTGGTTCCATTTTTTTTTGACATTCCAGCAAAGAAATCAGTCGACTGTACATAGATTGCTTTGACTTGGATTCTCTCCTTAAAAATCGCACTGGCAGCAAGCCAGTATGCTGCCCCCAGTTCCATTTTAGTCTGGGCAATTGTGCTACATTTGAGCCTGGTTGTGTTCAGGCCGACTGCTGATCCGCATGCGGAATCCTTGCTTTGTAGTCCCGCGCCTAGCGCCTTGATACCTGTGTGTGCGTGCGTTTTGAAAACTTTTGATCAATCGATCTCCAGCTAATCATCCGCCTCCGCCCGCCCTGCTGTATATACGCGTACATGCGCTGTCGCCTGTGTTTTCTTTTCGCTACTCTGGCTGCTGCCTGGCGTGCACGCAGCGATAATAACTTCTCTGCAATGATGCATAGCTATAGCCTATAGGTGAGCTTTCTGCCCAGTGTGTTTATTTTTTAATTTTATTCTTGAAGCACACCTATTATCTCTCAACGGAAGTGTCCTTGCTGGTGTCTGCATTGTTCGGCTGAAGAGCGCCTGGTTGTGATGAGTTGGGAATGCGATGAATTGAAAATATGGCCGAAAGCTCTGTCGCAATATTTAGTTCTTGAAGCACACCGGTTGCTGTATCTTGGCTCAAGAAGTGGTATCTTTATGACTCCCTGGTTTGTAGTTTCCGCAGCCGGTCTGTACTCGTACTGGTATAACCAAGAGTACATAACCCCCCAGAGTGTGCAACTCCACTATGGGTGCTGTCCCGACAGAATTTCAAGTTGACGTCATTTTGATGATGCAATGCGCACTGTACACGGATTATCACACGAATCCGGAACCTGTGGTTGACCGAAGCTGATTGATCCTGTACAAATTATTGCAAAGAAAAACGTGTGATGCGTTGACACCCGTACACATGTTGTAAATCACTGGTGCAAGGAGCATTGCGTCATAAATAATGACGTCAACTTGAAATTCTGTCGGGACAGCAGGGTATGTGGGAGTTGCACACTCTGGGGGGTTATGTACTCTTGGTATAACATAGGTGTGTATAAACATCAAGAATACCGAGGGTGCGCAGTACAAATAGGTTGCTGTTCCAGGCCGGCAAAATTCCAGGATAGCATGATGTTAGTGATGATGCGCCACTTCCCACCGCATATAATGTTATGCGACCGGAAGTCGATTACATCATGGTTGGTGCAGATCTGCACCATGGGACTCGGAGCCCTGCACATACGGTATGTGCAGTGTGTGTTGGGCTCCCTAACCTGCACCTACCACGATGTAACCCAGGAATTTGGTCATGACAGGACACCCATGCAGCAAAATTCAGAAGCTGCACAACCCTTGTTTCACAGATGGATGCATGGTGATAATAGAAATTGTGCTCGGCAGCCTGATGCATCATCTATTCCCCACTAGAAACCTATCTCTTGGGCTCTCTTGAGTCTTGGCGTACTTTACGTTCGTAGAGATAACAATATAGAGATTAAGTGATTACATCACCAGTTGAGATGCTTGGCGAAGTCTCGACACAGCGCTGCACTTGCACTAGCAACTCGTGCTGCATACACAGCGCCCATAAGGGGTCGTTGCAAAAGTTTTTTTGTCGTCCGAACATCATTCGTTGGGGGGGGGGGGGGGGGGATAATAAACCAGTAGCATATCTGCCCGGTGGCTGCTCATAGGGAGTTGCACTGCAAATTGCACTCGGCTTCCACATCCTGTCACTGGCATTGAGCAGCCCCCACCAGTAGTATATTTGCCTGGAGGCTGCTCATACAGTAGAGTCGCGCGCCCAAGAACGTTGTTTCCAAGGGGTTAGCCTGGGGCGTTCTTATTTTTCAGCAATCTGGCTGCGTTCTTATCGCACATTTCTTAGAAACAATCCGTACTGGATCATAATTATGTAACCCACAAGCTGCTAGAAAACCAACACCGCCGTTCTTAGCTTTAGGCTGTGCCGTTCTTAGAATTTCAGGCTGGACGTTCTTGGGCTCCACGACTCTACTGTAGCGAGTTGCACTGTTAGTTAAGCCTGGGTCACACTAGGCCGATTTTCCGACCGACGCTCCCACATTGACTCCGACAAGAAATCGACCGACTGTGTCGGATGAGTCGCACTAGCTGTTCACACAGAACGGTGGGCAATTTCGCTTGCACTATAGTTGTAAGCTTGTCTGTTACACATGTACACGCGGTACACAGCCGCACTAGACCGTAGTAGACGCTAGACAACGGAAATGAAATAGTTTTACACGAGCTACAAGGCCAAAGGCGTGAAAAGGCTAGAATCTAGTAGCAATTCAGTGCAGCCAATTCACGGTCTGCACCGACACTCTCCGCTGTCATGGTGAAAAGCCTAGAGTGATTGGTCCGATGCCTGCTCCATTACGTGCAAGCACTAAAAATCGGCTGGCTTTTCGGCTAAATATTACCAGTCGATACTTGGCCGAACACAAGTACGACAAGAAAATCGCCGCATGATCTGTCGGAAACCTGTACGACAACACTGTCCACACCAGGCAATTTTCGCCCCGATCTTGAGGGTTTTTCGTACGAGTCCATGTCGGCCGGGAAATCGGCCTGGTGTGAACTAGGCATTACACTCGGCTTCCATGTCCTGTTACTGGCATTGAGCAGCGCTCACGTCAGAGTGTCTTCTGATCGCAGGTACTCTCCAATGTCGGCCTGGTGGAAGGCCACGATCGTGCCGGGATCCGCTCGCCTGCACTCCTGCGTTGACTTGGCCGCTACTCCGAATCCCTATACACACACACAGGTGCACACAACAGAAGAACGAGCGGGCAAACAAACACACGCATACTTTATCAACGTACTGCAAATACTGATGATGTCCTCCTGTAGAACAATTGGAAACAGTCGTTGTACGTGGTGTAGCCGAGGACTTGGTGTGTTGTGAGTTGGAGGTGTAGTGAAAATTATGGAAATAAATTAATAGACTTTTCACACGCTCAGGATATGTTTGTCAAATGTGCCATCCTGATAATGCCAGTCAGAGCAGAGAGTTGAAGGGAATGCACAAGCTGAAGTGTCCAGCAAGATAATTTCACACTGAATAGATAGCTCAACTACGGTCTCCAACACTGTTCACAGGCTGACTCCGTGTGAGTTGACCAGGAGCACAGTGCACTGCAGTGAGCCCCATAACACGCGCACACGCACACACACACATACCACACACACACACACGTGAAAGCAACATACACATGCATGCAGCACTTTAGCAGCCATCTCAGCTAGGACGGACAAGAGAGAGCAAGCTGAAATGGTGTCCATGCTGCCAGCACTCACCAGTGGCGTATCTGACATGGAGTAGACGATGATTCCCTGGTACTGAGGTGTGTTGTCTGTGATGCGACCCAGGCCGGACTTGAGAACATGATTTCCGTACAGAAATGACTGCTCAGCACCGGGCTTCAGCCAGATCTTGAACTAAATAAACAACACACACACACACACACACACACACACACACACACACACACACACTGAATTGAAGATGCCATGACAGTCACAGACCGGCCCAACAGCCATCACCATAATCCCTGTACCTTCCGCAAGTAACATGCAGCAATTAGAAATTACTCAACATTTCGAAACGCGGATCAATGATTCACGAGCAACACTAATCACAACATTTTAGTGAAAGAGTAGGGACCAAAGTAAGACAGAGATGTAATTTAAAACCCGAGGCAGTTCACACGTCACCAACAAAATGCACATTGACAAATAGCAGTTTGACTTGAGCTCCATGATATCCAGACCACAGTCCACAGCCGTTCAACTCCACGTGACTGGCAAACTTTCACTACCAGGGCGATTGCGACTGAGGGTGCATTCCATGATGCACTGGGCTGTCCACTATTTTCATGGAGATGGGGTTCATAGAATGAATAGTTCCAGCCATAAAGCAATCCTGCACAATTCTACCGGTAGAAATGGCACATAATTGAGTGCCTACCTTAGCGTACTGAGCGACATGATCGAGAGCGGTGATTTGCAAGCGAAACGTTCCACTCTTGGTGAACTTGCCAAAGCAAGATCCAGCTGAGACGAGGTTACTGCGTGCTATGTTGATCGAGTGTCGAACACAAGACTCACTGGGAAAATAAACACAGAACACCATGTACCACACAGACACACATGCACACACACACATACACACACATGCACACACAAACACACACACACAAACACACACACACAATCACCTACTAGTAGACAAGAGTTCAGAAGTCAAAGATATGAACAGCGGGCTCGATTTTGACCTCACAAATCTTACAACAGACCACATTCACATGAATGTTGTGGTAGTGGTGATATACACATGCGCACGTATGTATGTGTGTGTGTGTGTGTGTGTGTGGATTGGACAATTATCTAGCGCTAGTCTTGATCTGTCTCATTCAGATCTTGTTCGCTATTGCTGCTATAAGAGAGAATCTGTGGGTGCACATCCAGTGCATTTGTAGATTTGTGTGTGTGTGTGTGTGTGCGTTTGTGTGTATGTGTGTGTGTGTGTGTGTGTGTGTGTGTGTGTGTGAGCGCGTTCTGTTTGCCGAGGGACTCAACACAAGGCCCAGACATGGTCCCAAGAAACGTTGGAGGGACATCGCCGCTGCTGATCTGAGTGCTCGGTGCGTGGCAGGTGACTGGTGCGACTTGGCACAGGACAGACGAGACTGGCGCCTCATGTGCAATCGTCCCCGACCGGCTGTGCCAAAGCCTAGAGTGTTCATTTGCGGCTGTGGCAGGGACTTCCGTCGGCCCAACGATCTAACTCGCCACAGGAAATACTGTAACTCCTGATGCTATCATTGCACGGAGCAATGGGCATCCAAAGGTCCAAAGGTGTGTGTGTGTGTGTGTGTGTGTGTGTGTGTGTGTGTGTGTGTGTGTGTGTGTGTGTGTGTGTGTGTGAGAGAGAGAGAGAGAGAGAGAGAGAGAGAGAGAGAGAGAGAGAGAGAGAGAGAGAGAGAGAGAGAGAGAGAGAGAGGGAGAGAGAATTGCAGCCATGCGTGCTACTGGGCTGCTCAGCTCTTATTCAAGACTTTTACACACGACTCCAGTTTATATTACCTGAGGTAGTACACGCGGTCCTTGTGTAAGCGAAAACAATACGCACCGTCAGCCCGCTCTAGAAGCATTTGTATATTGTCACCGATACTGTGGGGATCAACAGGCGAAAGGCCGCACATAAATACAAAGGTGTTACACTCATCACAAGCTGAACATCTGATCAGGGGGAAGCCATCAACCATTCACGTACTATTTTCCAAGCTTCTCGAAAACCTTCGAGGCCTCATCATCTGTCAAAGGACGCATTGTATTATTACTACGAAATTACTCTTGTCCTGGTCTGTTTTGAAAAGATTCTGACTAGACTTCTTGAAACCTCTTTTCTCTTTGAACAAGTAAACAAGTCAGTGCTCCAGCTAGCTTCGAAACAAACATGCATTGATCGATCGTGTTTTTTTGTCTGGAAAAACTGACGAGTGAAGATATTGTTGTGAAAAAAGATGACGAAAAAGTACGCAGTCGGTGGGCGCTCGTTCCCAGTCGGAGCGCTATATAGCAACCGTGATCTCTCCTAGCAACAAAAGGCACGCTTTTCGCATAGCAGCAAGAGTTCTTATGATGCGACATGCTACATCATGTACATGTACTTGCCACACCTACTGTGACCTAGTACTAGTACTAGTAGTACCAAGAGTAGATAAACACTACTCTTGGTAGTACCTACGACGTCGACGAGCTAGCTGCGACCAGGGAGTCGTCAAATATTTGACGACTCCCTGGCTGCGACAGACTCAGTGAGTCAGTCACAGTGACACACGGTCGGTTCACAATCTTTTTCATGTGGCCGGAGTTTTCATGGTTATGATTGTTATTGTCTTGATCAGGGAATCTCGACGGTCTACCTGAGCTGATGACGTTTAGACTTGTAAACTAATTACTTGATTGTGTCGCTTTGACTGAGAATAATCACCAGTTTGAGTTCGACTTGTTTGTTTTTTTGGTTAGTACCGGTATACCCACGCTGCATTGCTCTGGACCAATGTAGCCGTGATGTTCTGGAGGAGTTTCAGGTGGTTTCATTCGCCGGTCAACTCGTAATGTTAGCGCCTGTCTGTCGCGAGTAGTTTGTGGGACATCGTGACACGTCATGGGGAAGAAAAAGAAGAAGAAGAAGGGAGGAGCGGACGCTAGCGCCGCCAAACAGAGGCCGCCGAAAAAGGAGAGAGAAGATGAGGCGGCCGTGACAATGAAAGAGGCAATGCTAGCAGTCCAGTGAGTGTTCTTTTTCTCACTATGTTCACATACCCAGCTCGAAAAGAATAATGAAGGACCGTGAATGGTACGGAGACTAGGACAAACGTGTTACTAGCACTGTAGGCTAGCACTGTATTACCTCTACTGTACGAGTGCTGGCTTGAAATCATCTGACTCATGTCATCAGTGTCTGCTCTAGGATTGTAGGACAGCTGGGTACACGTGTACCTGGCGCAACCATTTCAACCGGGCCGGTGCCGTGCCGGGTACACATGTATTCGACGCATGCCTCTGCATGATCTGTCACGCATACAAGCCATATAGTCAGTCCTTTCAAAGTTCGAACGTGTAAAACAGGTGACCCGGTACTATATTTTCAACCGGGTCCAAGCGCCGCCCAACCGGGTCGATTACTCGGCTCACCCGGCTCTGGGCCAGACAGTGGTCATAATGAATCCTGTAAGACCACACATTGTATCGCCAATGTGAACGGCTAACGAATTCTGGCTATCAAAACCGGTGGGTGACTGTACATACTGAATACGTCCATAATGTTTGCAGTTAATGAGTTCAAGATCTGGCGAATGATCTTGATTAGTTAAATCATCAGTGTCTGCTCTAGGATTGTAGGACAGCCGGGTACACGTGTACCTGGCGCTAGGCCTTGGCGGATAATGCTCGAAAAGCAGTGAAATTGGCAGAACCATACAAACCTTATGGCGGGCAATTCTTCGAATTCTGCTCCATTTCTTTATCCACATACCAACCATGCATAAAATTACCAGAAAATGTACTTAATTCTGCCAATTTTTCTGCCGGCATTATCCGCCAAGGCCTACCTGGCGCTACAATTCCAACCGGGTCGGAGCCGGGTACACATGTACCTGGCGCTGTCTCACCAGCCGAGTGACATGCTTTAAACGGGAACTAGGCCCAATGTCAATGATATAAAGGCGAATGGATAAGCCGCATTTAGAAAAGAGAGGACAGGAATTAGAAAATTACGAAAGAAGAAGAAGTATCTGACATATACAAGCAAGAGTACATAACCCGGGCCGGCGGGTTATGTACTCTCGATACAAGCCATGTAGTCAGTCCTTTCAAAGTTCGAAAGTGTAAAGTACCAACTGGGTCACAGGTGACCCGGTCAGGTGACCCGGTACTATATTTTCAACCGGGTCCAAGCGCCGCCCAACCGGGTGGATTACCCGGCTCACCCGGCGCTGGAGCAGACACTGCATCACTACATTAAAACTTTCATGAAGTTGATTGCTCCTGCGTGGAACACATGCTCCCTGCCAAGCTTGTTCACTACTGCCATACTGCGGAGCGCACGAGGAGCCTGTCGCACCTGCCACTTCTCTAACCTGCAAGCAAGCACCACTCCCTGCGCAATACACAGCGTCACAGTTCGGGGAATTCACCCCTCATCCGAGTGGAGCTTCAGTAGCCTACTGAAATCTGTGCTCCAGGAGCACTACATTGTCATTATATAGCGCTCAAGCAACCCAAACATCGCTAGGGACACACGCTTACAGTGACGCTCCGTTTCCAGCGCGACAGACACGCAGTGAGGCACTAGGTGGCAGCGTGGGTCACAGTCGATCATGGACTGATGCGAACCAGCCCTGACTCACACTGCTACCTGGGGCCCCCCGGGGTGTTCAGTGCGCTGGAAACGGAACGTCGCTCTGTGCCAATCCTATACCTCATCCGATGGGATCAATCCATAGACATTGCAATCGTCAGGTTTCGTCCACGGAAGTGATTGGGGTGGCGAGATCAGCGCAGTGCTCATCATGTACGACGAAATTGCCTAGCGTAGCTGACAAAGATGAAATGGATGCCTGTGGTGCAGGTCGTATGTTGTGCTCCCCCCCCCCCCCCCCCTCACCTTCCTAGGCTGTCCTTCATAATTAACTCTTTCATTTCTATTGCTGAAGTGGAATTCTATGTGTCTGTCACCAGGGTGAAAGTAAAGGAGAGGAATATTGAAGAACTGAATGAAGAGGTGGAAGCACTAGAGTTCAAGAATGATCGACAGCGCGATAGGGTAAGGGTCTACCCGTGTCAAACTAGGTGTGAGTGAGTGCGTGTTGGTGTGTGTGTGTGTGTGTGTGTGTGTGTGTGTGTGTGTGTGTGTGTGTGTGTGTGTGTGTGTGTGTGTGTGTGTGTGTGTGTGTGTATGTGTGCATACCATGATTGTAACAAGTAGTGCTGAGCGGTGACATCCCGTTGTAGCCAGGTAAACAGAACCGGCTACTGTACATGTACAGTGTCATCCCTTTCCAGCCAGTATGTCAGTATTGTACAAAGTGCCTACAGTGGATCCTTGCTCTCTCTCTCTCTCTTTCTCTTCTCTCTCTCTCTCTCTCTCTCTCTCTCTCTCTCTCTCTCTCTCTCTCTCTCTCTCTCTCTCTCTCTCTCTCTCTCTCTCTCTCTCCCTCTCCCTCTCTCACTCACTCACCGCCATAACAGAACCGAAAATTGAAGGAAGAGCAGCAAGAGCACTTGTCCAAGCTGCTGACTGAGTACCGGGCCAGGACGGATGCAGAGAGAAAGGAACCGTCGGTGGAGACAGACCTGGTGGATGAGGCACTTGTGGACAAGTTCGAGGCGAACCGAGACGGCCAGGATCGAGTCGAAGGTTAGCGATGCAGTGTGTTTACATGTTGCCAGGGACGTAGTAGGCAGCTCCCTACACCCGAACCCATGTCGATAGCGTTGAGGTGCGGCCAAAGTCACACCATGATGTATATGAGATTTTTGAAGCGAAGAGTTACGGGCTATTTGGGCCTAATTCAGCTCCAAACCTTTTCCCCAGGAGGGCCCCCGAACCCCACCTCTTCATGGCCGTACCAATGTCGAATATCTTCTGACACCCCTGCTATCCCGGCATGTCGATAACGGACAGGTCTGCTGATGTCGGCGACGGCACCTGTATGTGCAGCATGTGACTGTACTCGTATGGAGCGAGTTGTTGAATATTCGCGTGTGCCGTTGGTCGCTACCACCTCCACACGGTTTGGCCAGCAAAGTAAGAGCTCAAGAGCGGTGTAGCCTACTCTTCTTAGGAGTGTGATCTTAGGGGTTGATGGCTCACAAGATAGGGATGGTGTTCGTCACGAATGACCTGAGTGAGCCTGTAAGTGTGTCTGTAGCAAACTCCCCTCCCCCTCCCTCCCCTAGTGCTCTTTCGCCAGTCTCTAGGCTACGATTTATTTGTGACCCTTTAAGTATTATACTCAGCTGGTTGAGGGAGTTGAAATTGGAAAAATCTGAAGAAAACAGTGGCTGTCACCACTAGGACTCGAACCAGGGACCCTCATGCATGGCCAGCCATGCTCTACCAATAAGTTGTGGTGTAGTCGTCATCCCAGCGGCGGCCGTTCAACAGTTTCTTTAGAGACTTCAAAACTCATGCTTCCTGTGAATCTAATCCACACAGGCTGCTGGAACGCAGCCCGGCATCACTGTAACTCACGCACTTCACGCACAAACTTGCACGCGAGGAGCCCCAATGCATAAAAAATGATAAAATATTCATAATACGGTTGAGGGAGTTGAAATAGTATTTTCTTTGCCGTTGTGTTTTCCTTCATTCCTTGCTGGCAGCACTGCATGCAAGGGTGCGTGCCCTTGATGCCGAGATTGCAGAAGTCACAGCTGAGCTTACTTGGTGGCAGGACTTCAAGGTATGAGAAGGGCAGCCACCACACCGAGTATCATTTCGTTCTTGTTTTTAATCCATCCATCCATCCACCCATACATACGTACACAATAGCGGGATTTCCCCAGATTGCTAGAGTGCTCAACACCACAAGGATGGTACAATACCACGAAAGCAGAAGAGAACAGTGACGACCGGCTAGATCACTGCCGTCAATAATTGTAACACTGCGTTTCATGCACATAAGAAGGCTAAGGCAATCCGGGCCTCAGACAACTCACTATAAATTTACCGGTTGTAACTGTTCTCTTCTGCCTTTGTACATTCGTATGCTCGTACGCGCATACAATCATATGACATACCGTCATATGCATGTGCAGCAAGGCCAGCGCCCCGTGGCCGCTTGACTTCTCCACGGATTTCAAAGTCCACAACAGTACATATCATACGGCATGCACCCCCTCCCCCCCCCCCCCCCCCCCCCCCCGCCCTTGACAGTCTAGCTACGCGCGGCCGCCTGTCAGGTCCTGTGCATTATGTGTTGTGTGCTCTTGTGTTCGCCTCATTATCTTCCCAGGACAACACGGTGCCACAGAATGAAGCCAGGATAAAGGAACTAACGGGTCAGATGAAGGTGCCCAGCGAGGAGACCAAGCAGCTGGCAGGTAAAATGGTTTCCAGGTGCGATGTTGGGGGCATTTGTTCTACCCCCGAGCGCGTGGGTTCTTAGACGAACGATGTACAAATAAGTACGAATTCATCACCCCCCCCCGTGAACCGTGATACCAGATGTGTGAGGCTGTGAAGATCATTCCTTTGACAGGCACTACACGAGCTTATGGACCCACTGTGTATGTGTGTCAGGGTCATGTTTGTCTCTTAACACACGGACCCTCTTTTCTTGTGGTGCATTTTACATTGGAACAGCACCTTCAGCAGCCTGTTTGACCGGGATTTATTGCTATTTGGCCGGAACCTATACCGCCATCAGATGCAGGATTCGGAGAAGATTTCTTTGGTATCACATACAAATGGCAATTGGCTTTTGACCGCATTGTCATTTATTACGTTTTACATTGAAAGTTTGAATCCTTCAGTTGCTCCGTTTCCGTAGTGATGATCCTTCTACGTGACCTTTTCTGCCCATGCTGTTGTCTTGCAGCGCAAATCGAGGAGTGGCTGGAGTATGTACGAGAAGAAACTCAGAACAGGGTGGAGAAATTCCGGGTGCGTCGCCAGGAGTCGTCCAAGAAGGTAATGCAGGGATTTGCGGTTGGCGTTGTTCGGTTAGGCCACACCAAGTTATTTCTATGTTTCGCGTCACCGCGCGCTTACCTTTTCAAATCGTTGACAAGAAAAAAAGAAACGAGACGATCCAATCGATGGCTGTCACTCTGGCGAACATCCTCTAGCCAGTATGGCAGGTCAGAGGTTTTCACTGACTTCTCGATAATCTTGCATTCCAGGCGATGGTACGTAGAAGATGCGAGCGATGAAAATATCTATTTTTGCAAGCCTTACGGTAGGGCCTGCTCACCTAGCGAGCGGAGATTCCAGGCGTCAAGGACTTCGAGATTTTCCACGATCGTGATTGGTGCGGAATTCCACTCGACTCATGTCAAAGTGCAGAAGGAGCCATCCATGAAATCTGTTATTGTATCGCTCCAGCCCAGTCTGCCAGCTCTCCTGTGGCGACTTGTTGTCGTTTTGGATATGTGACAGTTGTAGCAGTGATATTCTGTGTGCAACATGGCTCAGTACACATAGAATGGAGTTTTTTTTTGCTTTTTCCACTGTTTTTTTTTTCGCCCGCGTGACTTTTCCAGAATTGCATGCATAGTACTCAGTGATTTAGATGCATACAACAAAATTATATTCTGCACATATATATTTTCCCATTTTTCAGCTATTTTGGCCTGAGGGGGTTTTAAAGGCCAACACTTTGTTGCGGCTGAAATATTTGCTTGCAAGGAACAGACGGACAGGGTAAACAGGGAGCAGCAGCACAGGGTGAACTTTTAATGCGTCCGAATAGTGTTTTAGCCCCGTAGGCTGACATTTTAACGAGCTGAGAAGTTGTGGACTTATGGCATGTGTAGTGCAACATGAAACACATGCCTGTTCTACTTTATCTTTGTGTAATCCAAGCCCATGTGGGTAATGCGCTATCAGTATAATTATTCTAAGTTTGCATGCGGCTTTTGAATGTGCGGTGACTATGCACGGATTGGCTTGTGTGTATGTGTGTGTATGTGTGTGAACGCGCACGCATGTTGTTGTCACGTGTAGATGCTCTATTCCAGCCTGCCACCGGACATGAGGGAGGAAACGGATGCAACCGAGAATCTACGAGAAAAGGTATTAACAGCTAGCACATGATGCAACATTAGTCCAAAGAGACAGGACAAGGGCTTCTGCCTCCTAGCCCCTGGTATTGTTTTTTTTCTATAGAGAGCCCTACACATCATTGTGATTGTGCAGAGCTCCCTGCACGGTGTTTATCCCAAGCGCAATGACAATGATAGACACACGACACAGCTGGTTCTTGGCCAGGTCAGTACATTACTAAGGTTTATGATTATAGGTAGGCTGTAGAAGTAGTCTGACATTTGATAGAATGTACATACAGTCAGCCGTGTGATAGAATGTACATACAGTCAGCCGTGTGATAGAATGTACATTGAACATACGGTCAGCCGGGTATGTGTGAGTTGCATGCTGGCAACATAGGTAGCGCCTATTTGAATAACATGTGATAGGCTACAATGTGATCTATCCACATGGGTTATGGTTGGTGACTGCTTGTCTGTTGCTTTATGAGTTGTGACATTATAGCACCATTTCGCACCTTCATATGAATTTAGTTGCTTCTAGTGGAGACTGTACACACGTCGCTGTAGCGATATCAAAACTGAGTGTGTGTTGCGTGGTGTGTGTATCGGTCTGAGACCAGGACACACAACAGAGCAGTGGTTTCCTCAGCCACCTTCGCTGCGTATCTCGATGTGATTGGAGATGCCAAGTTATCGTGGGGTCCTCACATAATCATTGAGCAAATCCGACATCACCAAGGCTGCCCGCAAGATTGGCGCTCTGAGGCAGACCTGATGAGCACTGTTGGGTAAATCACGATGCCTGTTCATTCTGGTGGTGATTATGCCTGACTTGCTTTATGGGTCAAACGCGTCCTTTGTGAGGGTACTTTGACGCCAACTGAACCGCCTGCGAACACTGCAGCACCGAGCTATACGCTCCATGGCGGGCACCCACCGCACACTTCCCCACGCAGCCATTCAACCTCTCGTGACCAAGAACAGTCTACCGTTATTCCGCTTCACGGAACTCTGCAAGCGTAAGCTGCTCGTGTTTGTGCGGAGGCAAACCTCGAGCACGGGTCAGCCCCTCCCTAGCTGCCCTCTTCTCTCGTCCAACCGACAGAAAGACACGTGGTCAGCAAACCGGAGGGCTAGTCTCAGCCAGCAAAGCCTTGCTCTCGCCGGCACATTCCGGCGCACGGTGGCAAGTGCTGTTCTGCGGAACCCGAGTTCCTGGCCGACTCTACTGTGATACATGTACTTGTACTACAGTCCTGCTCAATGAAATCCAGTCACGTCACTGGCTCAAGTTTGCACCGTGCACCATTTTGAATTCCAGTGTTCGCAGGTCTAGGGCTGCGCAACGCCCGGCGCGTACTTGAGGGATGCTGCGACTGGATTTTATTGATCAGGACTGTACTTACCCTTCTTGCATACATAACATGCACTGACAGTGATATACCCCAGCAGTCTACTCAGTTTACTTCGAAGTAGTTTTTTTGCCTTGCTTCTGCTCTTTTATCCCTCCGCACTGACGGACACATTGATGATGATTCCATAATCGCGACACACGGTGACACCCCCCATCCAGACCCCACTCTTTGGCCTTCGCTTCGGCCTTGCTATCATTATTATTACTAGTAGTGACCGCACTGCACTGGGCTATGATCCCGTTTGACTTTGCGAGGTCAAAATAATAAAGAATGCAATGCAATAATTATTATTTTTAGAAAAGGGGCATGCACTCCGGCTTCATTTTCAATGCCAAGGTTTCGACGCCAACACGGAGACGAAGGTAGGTGAAAGAGAAGACGTCACTGAGTTCAGTGTCTAGAACTAGAACTTGTAGAAGTAGAAGCGATCGAGTCAAGATGACTTTTGTCTTGAATTTTGCCGAACGAGCTCTGATGACAGCTGCAGTGATGTCCGTGATGACGTGCGATTAGCTTGTCACTGTTGTCAGCGAAGATGCACCATGCAGTGCACATACGTCCGAGTCCTAGCGCACATACGTTTTGGAGAATTATTTATTTTCAATTGAAGAGGAGGTTGTTCGCTATGTTCTCCCAGCGTCGTGAGGGATCCTGTTTTCTGTACCCTTCCAGGGACACTGAAGGTCCTCCCGAGGAGACTTTATCTCCAGCAAACGTTGTTGATCCGCTAAATAATTCGTCTCGAGACGTATGCACCACGTGCTGTCGGATATTGCAGTTGACGATGGAGATAAGAGGGAGACTTCCGATCGAGAATCTGACAACCGGACCCGTCAGCTCAGGTCAGGAATCGATAATCAGCTGATGAGCGTGACTGACCGTGACATGGTAACTCGTAAGCATCTCCAGCCAGCTGCTTAGGCAGCTGGCGCAAGCAACAGGCTGTCGTGGCCTTACTGTTTGTACTTGGAGGTAAGACGAATTCGGCGTGGTGGACGCGTAGGTGGCGGCCGCAGTTGACTAGCTGCTGCTCCTGCCGACCTGAAGCCAGTGAAGGGCTGGGAGGATGATGGCGAGCTACCTGAAGTTTCCGAACTTCCAGTATCCAGTATTTAACCCAACCCCGGTGAGCCAGGTTGTCACTTTCTTCATGCTTTCAATCCCGGGGCCAGTGCATGAAGTTGACTTCTTTCACCTTTTCTTTACTCACGCTGGTCAGCTTGGTCTATTCAAGCGGTATATTTTACAACAAAAAACACATGCTGATCCTCGTATTGCCTCCCGCCAATCCTATACTGCAACATCTGAGGGATGCTGGCGTAAGCTTACTACTAGTCTTACTTTAAAAAACTTACACATAGGCGAAATGTACACTTCGAAGCAGGTTCACAGGATTAGATATTAGGGAGGTTTAGTTCCCATGTAACGGAAACGCGTACGTGGGTGATCCACGTAAAGTGGATGAAGGGCACCCACGTTGCAATGTTGTGTTTAGTCACACGGAACAAACAAAAGCATGAAGCGAAAGGCCCAAACCTGGTCAAAGACGAAGCTACCCGGGCCTAAGAAGCTCATCCAATATTTTGATTTCGTGCTTCGGAAACTTCTTCAGCTGAGCACCCTCACAGCTCGCACAATGCGCTCCATTCTGATTTTCACCCACGTTCTGGCGGAACGTGGGTGAGCCTCCGTACACGGTATGTCGTGAATCAGAAAACGTCTGTACGTGTACGTGGGTCACTGAGTATCACGTGGTACACACACGTAAAGTACCCACGGATTACGTGGGACTAAACCTCCCTATTGATCATGCGACTCGTTCGCCTGCCTCATGCCCAGTACTACTGGAGCTGCGTGACTGCCATGAAACACAAATACTGTACTCACTATTGTACTGAGGGCATGGGCATGCACTACGATATCAACCAGGACTCGTTTTCAAGCTTCATGAATCATTATCCTTACTAAGAGTTGTAGACCGCACCTGCCCCCCCCCCCCCCATGGATTATGTGGCCGCGTCATTTTTTTCATCAATGAATATGAAACGCATTTTCTAACCACCCCCGCGTTGTCGCCGCATAGTCCTTGATTTTATTAAGCAGACATGCTTGTATACATGCGTACACAGTACCGCAAGGAAAGGACGCGTAGCACATCGCATTTCGCTACATACTTTATTGGTGATGAGTTGGGCAATCTCTGCTGGATAGAAGACACTGCCCTGCCATTGTATTTTCTATAGGTGCATAGCATACCCATTGGTTGGGTGCTTCTCATGGCTACAGATCAACCCGCCGTCAGGTACATGTATCTTCTGCTGGGTTATTCTGGTTGATAGCAGACGTCATGGTGTTCCAGATTGGAATGCAGACGGTTTAAAAAAACAGTTTACCGACACGTTGGCAAGCAATGTCGTCATTCTTCTGAGCATTGATTGTTGTTTTCACATTCTTCTATCCCATGGTATGCCGCTGTTCGCAGGTCACTCGGCACGAGGAGTACCGGGAGAGGCTAGTTGCGGACATCGCGGACCTGAAGGCGCGCTCGCTGCGGCTCTCCGAGGAGGTGTATGACCTGGTGCATGTACCCGCTACACAACTGTAAGTTGCACTCCGACAGCGGCACTGTCAGCGAGTGGTATTCTCGATAATCGTGTATACCAGGTCCTTTCCTAACACGATGAATGGGTGCATAAAGTCACGGATGTGCACTGAATGTACACTTTATGTTTTATGAAAGCATATGATAATTGTGAGCTGAGAATGCAGTTTGGGTTGCATTCCTCAGGCGGGCATGGCTAAACAAGAGTATAAAAATGTTTTTGGCAAACAGATCAGCAGAAATCAACGTTCAAGTTGTTTTCCTATGACGTGTAGATAATGTGCACTTTGTGCAAGTATGACCTGGAGTAGCACCCTAGGCATGCAGGGCAAACACTCGCAAGATATTTAGTGATTCTCACGAAACCTGTGAAAGCAGTTCCGGTTTGGGACCAGGCAGAATGAACCAGGGTTGCCCGGCTTGGCGATTCTTGCACACTGTGCACACCCGGGAAGACTTGAAGCGTGTCTCTCGAAGCTGAGTGCAAACTGTGCAGTAACTCCTGGCTTCACTGCATACGGGTAGATGAGATGGAGGTGGTTCCACACAGCGGCACAGGTATGTTCTCCGGAATATTGCACAACTGCCGAATAACGTTCAGTCGGAACTGGAGCTGATGATATTTCGGTCCACAAGGTATGCGCCCCGGGTTCTAGGTTACCCCAGAGTTGATGACAGCCACTTCGACGAAGTCATAAAGTATTGATTTCCAATATTTCTTCACCTTGCGGAGAACACGGAAAGTAGATGCCAACGGGTCAATGACATCTACGTCACCCATCGCAAAACTGTAATCCTCGATCAGCTGTTGCAACCCTGCAGCCAGGTTGATGAAATTCAGCACACTTCTTTTTCATATGGTTGTTCAACAGCCTCACCTTTCTTAGTTCGTTGGTTTTATCTTCTGCTGTTAAATCCACCACTTTCAGAGAGGACTGCAGCGCGTAACTCAGTTACACGTGAGGATCATCGTCCGTGCCAAAGAGCCGTGGAGCAAAGTCGCCTTGCTCCAGTAGTGTGCAGCGTGCGGCATTTTGCAGATTCCCATGTAGATGATCAGAGAGATGAATCTGTACATCTCATTCGGATCTGTCTCTCTCCATGATCCATCTTGCTGGGCGTACGACTTCCTCTGAAAAATGTGGCCGGCCGGCCGCATTGTCGTTTGTATACTGTGCAATGAACGTGACAAGGGACAGGTTGAAACATAATTTAAAACAAGCGGCTTCCTTCTTGGGTTGGAAGTCGTTCGGGAGGTGAATGCCAGGTGCACGCGCAGGGCCAAAAGTCTGGGAGCTCTGGACACTGGTCATCATCACTCTGACTTTGGAGCATAAACCAGAGGATCGCCAGTGGTGCCAGGCTCGACATTTCAGCCCCGATCTGAAGCTCCCCTTGCTCTGCGCGTTGCTGTCGACCGCGGGTTTGGCGGTGCGCAGGTGACGGAGATCGGACTGCACTCCCTCTCTGCGTGCTGCAACACTCTAGCTGGCCCCGCTGCTCTGCGATGGGTATGACACGGCGGTGGTACACTCTTCTCACCACTCGAGTGGTGGTGTTCTGCCGATCATGCACTCAAATGAGAGCCGTCGACATGTCCGCAGCAGAGTCCACGTCATCATCAAAATCAAGATCAACACCATCAACTAGGGCTTCATCCAGTTGGTCCTCTTCATCAGAGGACATAGGATTGTTGCTGGAGTCTTTCCAGCTATCCCCAAACAAACGCTGAAGCGCTTCATCTGCATCAAGCAACTTGCTTACGTGCTGCCATGTTGGAAGTTACAGCGCGGGCAAACTTCGGCTTTGATTTCCAGAGTGTTTTTTCTTCAATTGACAAGTAGTCCCGGTGACCCGTGTATCATCCTCTATATAGCATGTGAACTTTCATGTGGATCTGATGATCCATGTGGGTTCCAGCTGGCTTTGAAATGCATGGGCAAAGGACAAAGAGTTCAGAGGAAACTTGATGCCTGGACCTGGCTCTAGTCACAGGGTGCGTAGTCGAATGGCCTTGGTCCAAGGCGGTGACACTGAGTGCATTGTTTGGGAGATCTTTCCGATCAAACTTGGTGCCACGCCCCGGAATATTCTCATGGCGGCGAAGTAGTTGGCCACTGGGAACACGCAATGTGTTCCTGGTGTGAAATAACTGACTTTCGAGCACTTTCTATCGAGGAATGCTGTAGCACAGCATCTCTGAACCAAACCATTTGACTCGCAGCACAGGACACACTGCACACTGTGAAACTTCCATCCATGATCTACGTTCACTTTTGTTTCACCTAATCAGTACAGTGAAATCTGTATAGGCGACCGCTCGAGAGACCTTCGAAATGTGGTCGCTGTCACAGTGTACAGGCTTGACGGGTTCTACTGTATAGGCATCCTTTGGAGTGTCTGTATCGACGCCGTAAGACTCGAACGGTCTGAACATATCTGGGTGCATACGGTTGTGAATGTCCCCTGATTGCTTTATCCAAGCCTTCAGCATGGACCGAAGCTGGATGACTCAGCGCCCAGAAGATCATTGGTTAGGCTCGGAAAGTTTACATTATCCTGAAGATAAAACGTGCTGTTGGGTTATAAGTACATGTGCATGTACCCTAAAGTACCGCCAGAGCGCCCCACCATCCATCTCGTCCTTTTGTGGTCGCATTGTGGAGGTGGTTTCCTGTCTGCAGGTCATACGACATGAACCTTGCACACACATTGCACGTTGTGCAGTCAATCCCTACTCGATTTATCTTCGAGCGGACACAAACGTTCCACAACGAGAAACCTGCTGAGTGTGACCTTAGTACACTAAGATCCTCGCATCGCACACCCTTCGCTGCACTCCGCCATACAATTTTCCTTTCCCTGGCTGTAAAACCAAGGTGGGGCGCTATCGCAAGACGGGGCACTCTTACGGTACTTTACGGTGCTGTGTGTTAAACAGTGTGATGATTGTTCCTATGCTTCTAATTCGCCCGGGATAGAGCGGACTTCAGCTGTAAAGTGCTGCTCTTTGTGACCCTTGGTAGTGCACAGGAGGACCTAGACTACTGGTCCAATTACTCTGTGCGAGACGCGCAGAGCTTCAGTTCGAACGAAAATCCAGTGGAACAAAACGAAAGTAATGTGTCCTGATGATTGCTCCTGAGCATGAAACTCTGATTTGAGGTATTATGGTTTTTTTTGTTCCACTTGCTTTTCGTTTGGTTTGCGCCTTGGCGGTACACAGGTATACTAGTACTGGGAAGTTTGAGCGTGCGCGCCCTAAACATGTGTGCACATGCATGTATACTGGTAACTGAGTAACCAAGCTGCACCTCTGTCTGATTGGCGTTGTTGCCCGTCCCGCTGCGCAGGGAGCGCTATCCGCACAGGATCCGCGTGGACGACGTGCTGAGCCCGGTGCACCGTGACTCTCCGCGCACCAAGGCCACGAGACCGCGGGTAAGCCATGAACTTGGTCTGAGGGGTGCTACAGTCTTGCATGCGCAACGTCGACTTAAAGCGGCAACAGATCACGGCATCGTCGTTATTTTGGTTGTTGTTCCACAATCAGGTCTGTGTGTCGGTATCAGGGGCATAGCTCGGGGTAGTGGCTCCCGGCTATGTAGATTCTGCAGACCGGGTATCAGCCAGTACTAGCACAATACTGCTTTGTTTCAAGGTTGGCAGAATACTCCCCCCCCCCCCCCCCCCTGGGCATGCTATGAACCAGTCAGCCTACTCCACTGGGTATCTGGCCCATCATAGACCAGCACTACAACGTGGCTATGTGCGCGCAGGCATGAGGTCCTCGCATGTGAATCCACCGGTGTACTAAGCGAGTTGCCGAACATCGGATTGAAAAGCCAGTACAACTGACGGGGGATAGGGCAATAACTGCTGTGTCCATACCACATAGCGCGTCAAAGAGGGTAACAACAAACCCGATCAACTCTACCATATTTCCCAGGGTTAGAACTCAGCACGTACATGTACACGGAAATCATGCCAAATTTGCCCCTCGGCGGTTTTCATTCCAACCATTCACTTCCAATATGTGCGTTAACTAGAATACGGTGCTTCACCTCCCAGAAAGCGGGTGCGTATACCCTGATGTTGGGGATGGGGTGCTGGTTATACCCCAATGTGGCTTTGACCTCGGAATACACGGCATACACAATCACTGTCCAGTTCTCACTAGTGGCTTATTTGCTGTCTGCCTGTGCCACACCAGGAGAGGTCGGCCACGTTTCCAGCACCCAGCGCAGCCACCATGGCCGTGCGTGGCCAGCTGATGAGCATCACGGAGGGAAAGGAGCGCACCGCGGAGCCCGACGACGACCCGTACTTTCCGAAGATTCCCGGTGTCAGCATCAACCCGTCGGTGCCCGGGGCAGAGCTGGACATCGACGAGGGAACGTTTGCACGGCGAGGCAGCGTACTGGAGCACACGTATAGTCTGCCGCCGATAACACGAGATATGGCGCGGGAGATGTTCGGCGCGCGTAGCCGAACGCGGAGCATGGCCGCAGCGACCGGCACAAAGTTACCAGAGGTCAGACGTGCCCATCAGAGAACACGCACCACCTGAGTGCACGTACATGCCCTGTGCCCGACCCGCTATAAATGCTCGGTGAGCTACCCGACCCACAACACATGCTTCGCACTCGGCCCACTTTACAAGCCCTGCACTCGGCCCACTACATACGACCTGTGCCCGGCCTGCTGCACATGTCATGTGCCCGGACCACAATCCACACCATGTACCCGACCCGCCGCTACACATGCCTCGCATTCATGCCCACTGTACAAACCCTGTACTTCCTTTCGTGTAGTATGCATTATTGCGGACCATACAACACAAGACAACGCATGCAAAACATACAGGCCAAAACAACACAGAATACAGCACTAAGCGACACATGCAACACATGCAACACTTGCAACACATATGCTTGGTAAGGCGAACAACTAAAACATGCATGCTGGGCATACAACAAATGGTTTTAGTGCTGAGCTTTGGATGTCCGTGTGCGTCCACAAATGAACTTGTTGAGGCATAGTTGAAGCATTTTAGCACTTGCATTACCACTTATCAACCCCATCATCGTATTGGTGTTCAAGCAATGGATACCATAGAACGCATTATCTGATCACCAACATACAAGTCCATGTACTTCAAAGTATAGCAATCATGTTCACTGATCACCCTTCTCTCGCAGATATCTTTACCCGGCATTTCTCAGTGTCCTGGGTCACTAGCTACTGGGCAACTGACTCTCCTCATTATGGCCTCCAACTTGATCATGTTACCTCATTGTCACCGTGCATATCTGGCACTGAGTCTTGATGACCCTAGCTGTTCCTATTGAGCTGGGCCACGACCCTTCGTAGGCTGCTAGCCATTCATTTCACCATCCCCATAGCTATGTCTGTTTAGTTCATAATCTAACACTGTCATCATGCTGCACATCAAGTTGTGCGCGGTACGTTTTTGTTATTGAATGATAATAAAATTGTATTGGCCACGGAGCGTGATGTTTCTTGTGTGAGCGATAGTATACGGCCCAGGCAGTTCATCAGTGCCGCCCTGGACCGTGTGCAGGCCGGCCAGCTCTTGCAGCTACGGCTCGAGAGAGCACCACCCAAGTTGTGTAAGTCCGTATGGAGACCAGCTACTGGTAACCATGGTAACCGCGTTTGAACGGTTCGAGGCAGCTCAGTACTGGTTCCCAATGTCAGAACTTTGTTTTTACCGTTTGGAGCCGGATCCGGATGCGTCAAATAAAACGAGCCTGGGTGGATCAGAAAAGATCAACATTAGATCAGGGAGTTGTGAAGAGGATCCCTAATATTACATTCCAGTAAAACCAAACGTAAGAGCTACCGGAGTAGATTCTACTGTTGCATGGTGGTAGCCAAGGAAATCCAACCCTCGTGGCGAAAGCGGCGTCACTGAGGCTCCGATCATGCGGTCCTGATCCTCGGATGGTTTTTGGACCGGCGTGCATGATGGCCCTTGAAATCAGGGAGAAGACTACGGGCTTGTAGTAAAATTAAAAACATATTTTTCCTCCCTGACGCGATGACCAACATTGCATCATCATCGATCATGTGTTCACAATGAAAATAAATAAATAATAACTTGTGCTAAAAAAAGGAAAGAAAATGCACACGTACGTACGTATCAGGGAGTAGTACAATACCATATTGTACTATAACTACTCCCTGGTACGTATACACCCGAAAGCGCTAAAAAGAAAAAAAGGAAGTAGGAAAATACCGGTGTTTTACTACTCCCACGTGTAGCGTGTGTTCGAAATTCAAAAGTGGTTCAAGTCACGATCACAGACACGAATGTTGCAAAATCATAGGGCTGTCATTCTTTCAAGGCTCGTAACACGTAATGCAATGGCCTTCCCTGTGCTCGCCTTCCTTTCCGGATTTCTGGCTGCTCTGGCTTCCCTGTCGGCCAAGCTGGCATCCTCGCCGCTAATAGGTGGTATCTCGGAGCAAGTCTGCACGATCTTGGATGGATCTGAGGTGTTCTGCAAATTCGTAAGTGAATGACCACGTACAAATCCATTATAGCTGTTTTACGAATTCATTGCGCCGATTTAAATCTCCTGGATTTTTGTCTTTCGTAACATTTGAAGGTTGAGTTCCTGGATATATACTAGCTTTCCCTGTGAAAAGCTTCCTTTTTTAGTGAAGCCGTATCAGGATCGAAATTTCCTATACTATCACGTGATCCGAGTAGGCTTATAGAGGTTGTTATGCAATGACAACATCAGCACTGTTGATATGCGTCACGTTTGCAAAGCCGCGGCGCAGCGATGCACTAGCTCAAGTGAAACAGCCAACTCACGCTGTATTATTATTATAGGTTATGCGATTACATCACCAGTTGAGGTGCTTTGGCGAGTCGCGGCACAGCGCTGCGCTTGCACTAGCGACTCACGCCGCATGCATGGCGCCCATAAGCAAATCCGCTGACTCGCCTAACAAAATCACGGATTTCGTGTTCGTTATTTTCGTTCCGACTATCCTCTCAGCTTTCTTTTCTCTCACGTCTTTTGTAGAGCTTCTTGGAAACACCAATGGAGGTTCACAGTGCACATACAACAAAGAAAGATACAAGCCAGCCAAAGTGCACGTACACATACACTTCATGTAATAAGACACTTGCACATGTTACAACCAAGCAAAAACAAAACAAAAAGAAGCATGCGTGCATATTAACGTTACAGTCCCTTCATTTTTCAAAAACGTGAACAGACATGCTGTGAATGAAAAATGGAAACTGCTGTACAACTACGTGTGTATTAATTTTATCACGCAAAACAAGAGAGCTAGCTCAGGGCCCTTCGTTATGCTTGTTCATCCTCATCGTGATCATTTTGCTGAGCTCGCTCACTGTGACAACAGCCAGCCTGTCATGCGATGACGGACTACGAACGCAAACATGTACACACAAAATGCCGTAAAAGTCCCTATTAACGCCCACCTAGTATAACGCCCGCTGCCCGTGTATATGCCCAGGTGCCAGGTGTCAACACTCTTGTCCCATTTTCTAGCCCACCTCCGTGTGAACGCCCATGGGTGAAAGCACAGGGCCCAGTACACAGTGCATGCACAGCTCCACATGCATGTACGATACGGTAATCTTGTGTACAGTACACTGTGCTATTAAACCCTCTACATAGAACGACATGTTGATGTGAAAATCAGTCTGATCTCGCTTATCCGAAATAACGCCCGGGCCCGTATTAGCGCCCAGGCCCAGTTTGACGCCCGTGTTCTGGATCTTGACTAACATTTCTGCCCAGGGCCTTACAATAGTTACGGGCGTTCACGGTAAAACACTGTGTGCCCTGGCTAGCACGCAGGACACTACTATTCTTGACGTCTTCTGCATAGCTACAGGAATACTCAAGCATACATGTAGAAACCAGTGTAGTTTCGGCTAGGCCTTTCGTACCATTGCTTTTCAAGTCGAATACAATGGTGATGAACATGGCGGCAAGCAAGTGCTTACAACCGGCACGTTTGCGTGCTGCTGTGTTAATAATCACCATTGTTATTCGACATGAAACGTAATGGTACAAAAGGCCTAGCCGAAACTATTATGGTTTCTGTGCAGGGAGTCGGTATTTTACAACTCTCTGTTTCTGTGCTTCGTGTGCGGATTTTTTTCCCTCCAACCAAGAATCAATATACCGTAAAGTACCGTTGATCCGCCCCTCTCTAATTCCCGCCCCCTGTCGATTTTCTCCTTGTGAAGCGACTTTGGCGTATACAACGAAATACGATGTTGAACCGACGCATGCATTGCTGTACACAATACTTGCCAATCCAGGATCAAAATGTGCACAATCCAGCACATTGAGACTGATCCTCTACGTTGTTGTACATTGTACTGCACTTGACAGCCTTGATCTAATTCCCGCCCCCTGCCGAAAACCCAGCTGGGAAGCGACATGGCGTGGGGGCGGATCAACGGTACTTTACGGTACATGTACTTCGTACTCAATAAAAGACAGAATTGTTAAGGGTGCGTTCAGACTACCGATAAAAAAGTGACGGAATGGGAAAGTTTCCTAGGTGATTTGATCACGTGACGTTACTGGCACGTTACCGGCGGAAATGTTTTACTGCCGCGGCTGCTGCGACAGGAAAACTTTTCCGGCAGTAAAAAGAGTGCTCAGGCTGGGAAAAAGGGAAAATCCTTTCTCTGTGCCGCGGTGAGAGCTGCAAAACTTACGGACCGGTAAAGTTAGTTTATCAGTAGTGTGAATGTCCTTCACGGTTTGACGTGATTCACGGTAGTCTGAACGCACCCTTAGCTACAGGAATTTAGTTGTCTGATGGTTGCCTAGCAGCATGAACACTCGGAGTTACAACCGGCCTGAACATCCTCCGCTCAGCCTACTATGTACTAAGCTCTGTCTACGACATTGGGCACTCTCTCTCTGCTGCTTTTCTTTATCCATATACCAAACATGCATGACGAAATAAAATATACAACAACACATACCAGTACCTCTCCCCCCCCCCCCCCCAACCAACTTTTTCTGCCGGCAATATTTGCCACAGAGTCGGGGTAGTGCCGAGCGCGCACACACACAAACATAGCAACACAGCATCAGGCCACCGTACATGCCCAGCGCCGCCGCGCCTCTCCAAGTAGTTTCTCTCCACCTCTATCCTTGTTAGATCCCTCCCCAATTTCATTAATTACTGCTTTCTATCTGCATTCGCCACCTTTTCATTGGGCAGATCTGCCCGTTTGGTTTGGGAATTACAATAAACACAACAACAACAAGTAAGTAAGAATACAACGAGGTTGAGACAGCCACTCAAACAGTGGCCATGCACGACGTGCGTCCAGACTAGGTCATGAGCAATGGTTGCGCTGCACTACGTACATGTAAGGGAGAAAAGAACACTGTCAAAACTACAGGTCAGCTGTACAAGGACTATGTACACATGGTGGTTATGGATATAGCGGGGTATTCGGAGCGTTCTTTGTGCACCACAAACTCCAGCGACGGGAAACAGCTACGAGTGGAGGCTGAACGCAGCCAAACTCCACACGCACACACACACGAGACACACACACACCCATGCTTGATGACATTGACAACGCCAGCGGCCAAGGCAACAGCAGCACGGGACTATGCGAAAAGAACGCACACACGCGCGCATCCTCAGAGGTACACGCGGTGATAATCGTTTGCGCCAAATGCTGCATTACACTTTGGACACTTACGCTGTCTGCTTTCATATCGCTTATGTACGCAATCGAAGCAGAACACGTGGTAACATTTGATGAGGATGCAGTCTTTCTTGTTTGCTTCGCAGCACGGACAGGTAAGCTTTTTTTTGTAGATCTTCACCTCTTCCTGAAGGATCTCATCGGCATTGGCTGACGGCAGCGGCTGTTTACTGCGGTCTAACTTCTTCTGGAGACTGGTGATTTCTTCCTTGAGCCTGCGCATCTGGTGCTGGTCTTGTTCCACCTTCACGTGCTGCTCGGCTAGCTTCTGACGCAACTCTCTCACCTCAGTGGCCGATTTCTCAGATTGGATCTTGCGATCCTGCGCTGACTGGGCACACTCCAGTGCCTTCCGCTTCAGACTATCAGCCTGAGCCTGACGACGAACTACCTCGTCGTCGTGTCCAGACAGATCCATCTGCAGCAGAGTTTCCTTCTCGTGCAGGTGCTGAATGAGCTCAGACTGCGTGCCAATCTGCTGCTGAAGCATCTGAGCGTGAGCGTCAATCGCTTGCTTTTCCTCGCGCAACAAACTGTGCAATGTGTTTGCGTTGTAGCGGTCGGACATGAGCTTGAAGTTCGCGTCGTCTTTCTCCTGCAGCTGTGAAAGGAGACGGGCATTCTGCTCTTGCATGTCCTCGAACGCATCGCCAGTTAGTTCCATTTCGCTCAGCAAGGCAGTGTGATTTCGCTCGCTGGACGCGAGCGACTTGTGAAGCTCCTCGATGGTGTCCTGTGCTTCTTTCCAGCGCTGCGACGCCTCCGAGTCATTCAGACAGTCACGGGCAAGGCGCTCACGCTGGGCATCCAGTGTCTGCTGCAACTCCTCCAGTTTGATCTTCTGCTTAGCTTCACTTGCCATTACGTCAGCTTTTTCTCGCAGGTCCTTCGAGACACCTTTGTACGCATCCAGAAGCATTTTCGACTCCTTTTCAGACTCCTGAGCCTTCTTCAGCTCCTCCTTCATCTTCTTGAGCTCTTCCTTCAGAGTCCCATTGTCCTTCGCCTCGCCGCTCTGCACCTCTTTCGGCTTGTCCGTAACACGTTTCTCGATGGCGCGAATCTCCAGGGTTGCGAGCGGCACTCCGTCCTGCAGCCTCTCCAGCCGACGGTTGGCCTCATCCACCGTCTGCTTACAACGTGTCAGCTCGGCCTTAAGTTGCTTGTTCTCCTTCTGCAGGCCACCGGCGAATCGTCGCAGCTCTTTCAGCGTGGAGGCCTGGTCGCTGGCGACGCGGTTCTGCTCGTTCTCCATGCGCACTGCCTGCAGCTGGCGTTGCGAGTCCGCTAGTCGGTCGCTCAACCGGCTGATGTCTTCCTGCGCGGCGCGGTGGTACTTCATCTCGTCCGTCTCGATCTTGTCCAGGTGAGCCACGTACTGATCCTTGCACTCCTTCAGTTGCTCCAGCGCCTCCTCCACCTGCGTCTTCAGCTGCTGTCGTTCCTGGAACAGCGTGGAGTACTGCGACTGCAGCGAGAGGAACAGTGGTGAGTGCTGAATGGCGGTGTCCGACACCTGGTGGACCGCCGAGCGCGCAAGCTCCAGGTCAAGGACGGCCTCTTGAAGACGCTGCTGCAGCTGCTCAATCTCCTTCAGGCGACTGCCAGAGAGGTCCTGCGCCAGCTTCAGGTCCTCGTACACACTACTGTCGGCCGGCTCGGCTGTACCCACGCTGTTGCCGCTCTGAGACGCTGCTGCTGGCGGTAGTGTCTGGTCAGTGTGTGGCTGCGCGCTGCCAGCTTGGCCGGCCGACAGCACCGCCTGCTGCTCGGCGTTGCTCAGGAGTTGGTTCACGTCCTCAAGGCGTATTTTCACCTTCTCCGTCTTCTCCACCGCCTTGCCCAGGTCGTACTGCGTGCTTTCCAGCTCTGCCTTCAGCATCTTAACTCGCTCCTCCAGATTAATGATCTTGTCGTGGGCTGCGCCCGATTCACACACTTGGCCGCGCAACGCCGTCACCAGCTCTTCAAGCCGCTCATTCTCCTTCCCTAAATCAACGTCGGTGCATTCCTCGCTCACTCGCTGGTACAGGTGTTCAAGTGTGCGGGTCAGATCGCGGATACTAGACACGGTAAACTTGCAGCGCTCGAGTAGCGCATCAGAAGCCAGACTTTCATCTGCTGCCTGTTGCACCTTCTTGAGGAGCGCACGTACTGGCAGACTGGCACAATCTGGCTGTTTTCCCAAAGTTCTCACCGCTCCACATTGGTAGAGCATTGCCTGCACCTGCTCATCCAGTCGACTCCAATGGCCCATTACTACAGCCACCTTTTTCTCCAGCTCTTCCCTGGCGGCCTCCTGCGACTCAAGACGTTTCCGAAGCAAGTGGTCCTGGGCTATCTTCTGCCGATTCTTTTCGCTGAGCATTTTGTTCTGAACCTGTAACGTTTTTAGGTTTAGCTCTTCCTGGCCAGTGACCGGTCCAAAATTGATATTTGCAATGGCCGGCGCGCTCTTCTTTGCTGGCGGGCCAGACAGGGGGCTGCCCGGCCGCTTCGACATGTTCGCAGAGAGATTAGTTGTCCAGACTCAAAGCAAACAAATTGTTCCATCGGGGAACAATGTTCCCCTGAATGCATAACTGAAAATACATGATGGGTCTGAGTGATTAGACTACAAAAACTGCACTGCGAGAAAATAATAATTTCTTTTTCAAACAAAGGCTTTTTATAATTATAGGCCGCCGAAGTCTGACGTCACAGCTTCTTGACAGCCGGCCCGGGCGCGCGCGCACTAAAGTCGCGTGCCCACGCGTCTGGTGTTACCAGTGGTTACCAGTAGGCCTCCGCGGAATATGCTCGTATTTTTACCGATAATTCTTTCGAGCATTGCTCAAAATTTCGACCGATTATTCCCGTAATTCCACCAACAATTCTCACAATAATTCTTTTTTTCTTCCCTTTTTTGCAGATAATGTACCGCGTACGGGTTTTTTGCCTCTTGTACGGGCAAAAAAATCACGGTTCGCGTGAAACTCCGCTGGAAGCTTTTTTTTCTTTCTTTTTTGAAATACCGGGCGATCAACTTCAGGATCATGAGCTTTTTGGTACAAATCAGGGTGTTAAAATGGAAAAAAATTGAAAAAAGGGGGGCATTGCTCATATTTTACCGATTATTCCACAAAAATTGCCAATAATTCCCGTTTTAAAAATCACACCGATAATTCCCGAAATTATGCCGGCATATTCCGCGGAGGCCTAGTTACCAGTGGCAGCATGCTAGGGCTGACCCGAATTTGCCAGCTGAATCTCGATATTTTGCGGCATAATTTTGCTCGTGCATCGTCGAAATTTTGCTTTCATTTTGCTAGGCCACTCGATATTTTGCTCCCTTTTTGCTCCAAAATTTGTGTCACGTGTGAGAAAACTGACCGAAAGTGGGTTAGGTGTTGGCAAAAATGAGAAAAAGTGAGTCACGTGTTGGTAAAACTGTGCCGAAATGAGTCATGTGCACCGTATATGTGTAAAATCTCCCAATTCCCAACCAACACACCGATATTTTGCTCCATTTTGCCAGCAAATTCCCTTTCAAAATTCTTCGATATTTTGCTAGAAGAATTGCTAGCAAATTCGGGTCTGCCCTACAGCATGCAGCATCCACGTGCCACGTGGCCGACATACCGCGCCGGTATATGGAGCTGGCCCTGCTGGGTCCGGCACTCTGCCCCCCCCCCCGGCGTATAATGGTAGGCATAGCCCGATTTTGCTAGCAATTCTGCTAGCCGCAAAATATCGAAGAATTTTGAAAGGGAAATTGCTGGCAAAACGGAGCAAAATATCGGTGTGTTCGCTGGAAATAATTGGGAGATTTTACACTTATACGGTGCACGTGATTCATTCTAGCACGGTTTTACCAACACGTCTCGTTTTGCCAACACTGTGACCTACTTTCGGTCAGTTTTCCCTCGCGTGACACAAATTTTGAAGCAAAAAGGGAGCAAAATATCGAGTGGCCTGGCAAAATGAAAGCAAAATATCGACGATCAGCCAGCAAACTTTTGCGGCAAAAATATCGAAGCTTCACTGGCAAAAGCGGGCTTTGCCTACTGCTGGGCCGGGACTGGGAGTCGTCAAATACCATCAAGAGTCACTACTTTCACTTTAGCTCATACAGGGGCGTAGGAGGGGTTTTGGAAGTGGTACGACCGAAGGTCGGTGCGGCGGAAGGCCGTGTTGGAGGGGGTCCGGCCCCCCCCCCCCGGGAAATTTTGTAAAAAAGACACAAAATCCTGCGTTCTGGGAACTTCTGGCGCAGTGTGCAGTCGAGTCAAGTACAGTACTCAGTACGACTGCAGATGCATAACAGATCTATGAGTACGAGTCTAGAAAAAGGTCTGATGCGCATATGCAAATATCGATGGATCCTGATTTTTTTATTACGGTTTTGCACGTTCCAGACGGACCACACTTTTCGAAAAGTGGTGCGGCCATGGTCGTACCAGTCGTAGCGGGTGCTGCGCCCCTGGCTCATACATGTACATGTACATCCTTCAAAGCGGTGAACCCCTTGATAGGCGACAAGCCTCTGGGTCATCCTAATAAAGATATTATTATTATTATTTGTAAGAAAGGTTTGCTCCCCACACCGGAGCTCCGGTGTGGGGAGCAAACCTTTCTTACAAATCATCGCCGAAGTCGCAACCACTATTCGTATTATTATTATTATTATTATTATTATCTGAGAGTAGATAAACAAGAGTGTGCAACTCCGGATCTCTCCTGCACAATCTGCAGATACCCCCGCCCACGGCGGAATTTATTGTTGACGTCACCTTTTTTCAGAAGAACGCGCATTTTGCTGCATAGCAGTGTGAGAGCACGTGCTGGGCACCGACTTTGTAGTGCAAATGCGGCCAAGTGCACGAGGGAAAACTTTCCAAAAGACTCAGAGCGCGTGCGTCGTCGAAAAGATTACGTCAACAAAAATTCCGCCGTGGGCCAACCCATCCGCGAGTTGCACACTCTTGTTTATCTACTCTTGTTATTATTATTAAGAGTTCATGGGTTATGAACTCTTGATACCACGAATACCAGGTACTACAATGACTATGTAGATTGTACATGATTGTACGCTGTATTTGACGACTCCCTAAACATGGCCGCATAGGAGGGTTTCTTTGATCGCTTTTTAGTGGTTTCTAATTCATGCGTTTCAGTGTGTGAGACTTCATCCACTTGTTTCTCTTTCTGTTCTTCTTCTTTGAAGGAAATTGGGTACTTCATGCTTACATACATGTACATGTACATGTACCTTCGTTTTGCTGTTGCTTTTTTCCTTCTTTTCAAAAGTGATGGTTGCTGGTGCTAAGTTTGGATTGGAGTAAAGACGATCCGCCCAGCAGTGCAGGGCAGTACTAAAATTTAAAAACCAGGGAGTAGTAAAATACCGGTAGTTCACTACTTCCTGGTTACAACAGCATCTTTGACTGGTATGGAGAGCAAACGACGTCGAAGAAGAAGACCATTTTCATTTTCCCCGCCGAGTTTTCCAGTATTCCCCCGCAGGCCGCAGTGTGTAGAGAAGGATCGCTGATTTCTTTTGGGTTCTGAGACCAATCAACTCTGGACTCATTTCCTTGTCCAGAGGGAAGCGAGAACTCTGAATTCCTATCTCTCAGGACTGGTTTTTTGTTAACACTCAGCAGGAAAAATGGCCTGTTCATAAATAATTATTGTTTTCTTCGTTTTCTTGGAATTTTGCCACAGTGACACTGTATACAACTGCAAGCATTGCTAACAGGAGTACTACATAAGGTTGATGCTACTCTGGATCATACTGTATTACAATTACATTTTGTAGTATTATTTGCCTGCTTTGCATCAGGGCGTGGTACTACAAAAATCAACAAATCGACATCGTAACACCAAGAGTCCAAACATGTTTATACACTCTTGATAATACGTATCCCCACCCCTAACATTCGCTCAGGCCGCTCCGAGCTGAGCAAGCTAGACTGAGAGAGTAAAGACAAGAGAAAGCGAGGGAAGGGGCACAGAGCAGCGGGGTTGATAGAAAACATCTACTGTATCAGGAGAATTATACTCTTGATGCTATGCATGAAGAGCACAGTACACCTGCTATGCCCAGGCATTTTGGGTGATACACTTGTATTTTGAATTTTCAGGAAAAATGGACATATTTTATAATTGATTTGAGTTCTCACGTGCGAGCCACCTGCACCGTATCCGGATACCGGTATCCAAGAGTACATGAAACATCTACGGACCCTTGTGCGATTTGCCAATTGGTAAAAACACCAAGGGAGTACTAACAAATTTAGTACTCCCTGCATGAAACCCGCGAGACCAAAAATCGAGATTCCCGGGCAGGACCCGTGTGTGCATGCTTGTGTGTGTGTGTGTGTGTGTGTGTGTGTGTGTATGTGTGTATGTGTGTGCTGCCAACCTCTCAGAAGCCTGAGAGTCGGGCGGAGACAGACCGAGTCTTTGCAGGGTCTGGCTTCAGGATGGCTGGTGAGGGTGACATCTTGGCCCACAAGGCAGAACAGCGGGCACCTGGGAGCTGCTATCGGCTCAGAAGAGTTTGTCTCTACCTATCTGGACGCAAACGTTCAAGCATGGACCGCGCCCTGGCAACGTAGCAGCTACACATCCTCTCATCCTCATGCTGCGTTTACTGCTTTCATCTTAGGTCTGCAGCACTGGTGGACATTCCTCCAATGCACTATGCCCACTGTTGCCTGTTGGTGACCACATGCAGCTTCTACAGGATGCTATTCGCAGCCATCTACTATGTACTACCAGCTCTGACCAAGCATGAAGTGAGAGATTTGGAGATGGAGATGGTGGTTCTACCTGCTCGACATGGTGGCTTGTCGTTTGACAACTATGTTGAGGACTCTCCACGCAAGCACGCTGTGTCTTTGGAGTGCACCGCCCACCTCACAGCCCAGATCGCCACCGGCGGATCGGAGTTGTTCGAGAGCGTTAGGCTGGACCAGGCAACAAAGTCGGCAGTGCAGACTCGCCACTGCGCAGCACTGGAAGCAAAAGCTGCCGATATGCAAGACTGCCTACCGCGGCCGCAGCAACGAGCAGTGTCCTTGGCACGTGAAAAGGGCGAGTACCCGGACCACCATCCCTATGGCCGAACCCAGCAGTCAGGAACATTACTGTTCGTGCAGTGTGTCCTCTGCCTCGTGATATGATGTTATCGTCACACATGTTACCAAGAGTACATAACCCCCCGGGGGGGGGGGGGGGGGGGGGGTTATGTACTCTTGATGTTACGTACATGTACAAGTACATGTATTATTGTACTTATTGAGCTACATGTACATTGTACAAAATTCGGTGATAAGGAAATCATGATGTTCCCAGCAATTTATTTATACCGTGGATGCTGCAATGTCCAAGTTTTACTATACATTTTAGTTGTCTTGGTTTGGGGCCAGTAACTTGGTGTGAAAGGTCATAGGGGCAAGGGATGTGAGGGGTTAGTGGGCAGGGATGGGAGGGGTTATTGGGCAAGGGATGTTAAAGGTTATTGGACTGCAGGGCGGGGATGTGAGGGGTTATTGGGCAAGGGGTGTGAGGGGTTAGTGGGCAGGGATGTGAGGGGTTAGTGGGCAAGGGATGTTAGAGGTTATTGGACTGCAGGGCGGGGATGTGAGGGGTTATTGGGCAAAGGGTGTTAGGGGTTATTGGACTGGAGGGCAGGGGGTGTGAGGGGTTATTGGGCAAGGGTTGTTAGGGGTCATTGCCTTATTGGACAAGGATGTGAGGGGCTATCGGGAAGGGGATGTGAGGGGTTATTGGGCAGGGGATGTGAGGGGTTATTGGGCAAGGGATGTTAGGGGTTATTGGACTGCAGGGCAGGGGATGTGAGGGGTTATTGGGCAAGGGTTGTTAGGGGTTATTGCCTTATTGGACAAGGATGTGAGGGGCTATCGGGAAGGGGATGTGAGGGGTTATTGGGCAGGGGGTGTGAGGGGTTATCGGGACTCATTCTAGTCAGGGGTGGTGGATCTTTATACCGCTCACACGCTCTTCCAGTCCTTAGAAAGCTTGCGCCGCACTTATACCTTTGAAGCAGAAACTTGATCCTGATCTTGACTGCCTCTGCAAGTACCAGACCAACCGTGTTCTTGCAAACTCAGGGGCAATCTCCAACTGCATGCTGGGAGTTGCAGCGATACACTCCGTGGCCCCAAGGTGTAAACCAAGCGTCGCTACACCTTTCCACTTGATGCCCACGCGAGGCTTGTGTACGCAATGGGATGAATGTGGAGCAGGCTTTTTTCTTTACTACAGACAGTGGTGATTCATCAGCCTCGTTGGAAAACCCAGCCAACTCTACAGCAGTGGCCGCAATCGTGCTTACTGTGCCCTCGGAAGTCACATGATCGGTGGACATAGTTGGCAGTCTGCACAAGCGGAAGAGCGGACGGCGAAGAGGTCTTTACGAGTTCTCCAGTAGACACCAGGACTCTATCTTAAATACCACAGCAACACTGCCGGTTAACTTGACCGACGTTAGTATGAAGTTACAGTATCTGCCGAACCCAGAGGCTTGTCTGATCTGCTAGCACAATCGGACCGCCGGGGCTTCGCAATCCAGTCTTGGAACAGAGCAGGCCCCTTGGCCCTACTGTGCGACATTAGCCCATACTCCTAGTACACTAGAGCACAGTGGCACCAGCACTGCAGCAGTCAGTACCTTTACTCTTACTTTCTGACCGCTGAGTGGAGCATTTCTCCGGGGTGGCTTCGGTCGAGAATCCAGTCACATGCCACATCATGGGCTGACTTACTCTTTCTCCGGATGCTAGTACTGTCCACATCACAGTCAGTCAAGACAACATGCCTACAGTACCTTTCTTGCCTTTCGCCATCTCCCGCGGTGATGGCCGATGGTCAGTTCACTTAGCTGGCATCGATCTCTATACAGTGCATTTCTGATATGCTATGGTTGAGGAGCAACCAACGTCCATCTCTTCGGCAAGACTATTGCCGAGCATTGGCAGTGGACTAACTGTGATTCGGGCACCTCAGTCAGAAATTTCTGAAGTTTACCTTCTGGACACGCGGTCTGTCCATGGGCTACTTGTTATGACTCTACAGCCTTCTGAGAAGCTATAGTCTACTTGCCCCCTTCCTTATCCTCTACTTCAGAGAGTCCTCAGTACACGTACTTCGTCATCTGTGTGTTGACACCCTCTTTCCCTATTGATCCAGCAGCTGGCTGATGTTTATTTATTGTTGTACGTGTGTTGTGCTGTGGCAGGTCTCGTGGTCGCTGTCAGCATGCTGCTTCGGCGTAGTGCTCCTCATGAACAGTGCAATGTGGACGGTGTTCGTCAGTGCTCTGGAAGCCAGTTCCAGCACGGTAGAGGTCACCGTCATCAACACGACTGCTAACTTCATCTCCTCTGTGAGTTGGCGAGGTGTGACCATGATACTTGTTGAGTGGCGGTGAAGAGATGGACAGAAAGGGAGGGGCGGAGAGAGAGAGAGAGAGAGAGAGAGAGAGAGAGAGAGAGAGAGAGAAAGAAAGAGAGAGAGAGAGAGAGAGAGAGAGAGAGAGAGAGAGAGAGAAGGAGAGAGAGGCAAACAGAGGCATAGGCAGAGGAGCCATTTGGTGTGTGTGTGTATGTGTGTGACGCTTCATGCTTTGGCGCGATAGCACACAGCGGTTGCAGTGCGCGCAGTGGAAGCTGTAGCGTTCGCAGGACATATTGTTCGTAACCGGTGACTCAAGTGTGTCAGAAGATGCCTCTGCTGGTGATGTTGCTGGCGAGCACTTGTGTCGCCGTGGCTCGGCCAGAGCAACCAACACAGACCGTAGCTCCTTCTGCATCGTTTGCAATTGCGGCCGGCGTTTCAGTAGACCACAGGACCTATCCCGTCATCGCCCCTACTGTTCCGAACCTGCTCAATCCCCCATGGGATCCGCATAGCCAGAATATGGCAGTGCGTCCAAGGTGTGTGTGTGTGTGTGTGTGTATGTGTGTTAACTCTCTTGTGTAATGCTGTTACACCAAACTGTATCCCCCCAATCCATGACCATTCACTCACTGTTCATGTTCAATGCATGCTGCGGTGTTCCTTCCACGTCTTACAATAGCATAGCACATGTACATGTACCGCTTGACTGCATACTTCTCTGCCTTTGCTCTGTGTTTGTGCTTTGATTCCGTCAGGCTGCCCTTGGCTGGTTAGTGTTTGGCGAGACACTGTCTTTGCTCTGGTGGGCTGGTGCGGCGTGCATGCTCTCTGGCCTAGCACTCTACCAGGCCACCCAGCCTGCCGGTCCTGACGGCGCGGATGCCAAGACGAAAGCAGAATAGATCGTTCCTTTCAGCTACTTTCTGCAGCGTTACAGCGCTGCCAAGGCGCACTAGTGGAATGTCCACGGTGTGTGGCGTCTTGTCAACCGAGAAATCTGCGCTAGTCTCGTCAAGAGAACAACCGCGAGTGAGGTACTCAAGCTAACATTACTCATCAACGAGCCAAGCCATTCCATGCTGACCTCATCATAGCCAGTCTGTGTATGCGGGTAGGCTTTCGCCGCCTGGATGACGGGTTGCAGTGCATACACAAGTCTCTCTTTAGGACTATGAGCGCTCCACTCTGTCGAGCACTGACACATCCCGCCCCGTGCTGCTCTAGCACTCACTTCTTCTGAGTGAGCATGTGACTAATACTTAGATACAAGACCGGTATGAGCTCACCCACCCCTCTGCGCGAAGTGTCCTGCAGACACTGACTGAGCAAGGCATGTTAGTACGTGAACAGGTCGCCATGCCGAGTCCTGCAGGCTGCACCCAGTACCAGCGCAAGCTATTGATTGATTCTTGATTTCTCTGACACAGATCTATCCCCCATTTTTGTTCTGCATCACCACTGTACATGCATCCAAATCATGTTACACAGTATATTGACTATATTCCATAGCAGACGGAGAACTGTGGCATGTCATTGCAATATGCAAGACACGGCCTTTCTTGACGCAATGGTTGTTAGCACATTTATTTATACACAGAGACATGAAAAAACCGCTTGGCAAGTTTCCGAGCACCAGGTGGTAAAAATCGTAACTACAAACACAATAACGTGCTGTGCAAGAACACAAGGTCATTAATAAAAAAAATCCTAAAACAAACTAGCCCGCTGACCAGCTAATAGAACGATGTACGTGACGTTACCAAAACATGGATAAAAGCTCTCTCTGATGACAGCATCTGGTACAGAAGAGTGAAGCTACCAAAACATGGCTAAAAAGCTCTCTCTCTCTCACTCTGATGACAGCATCTGGTACAGAAGATGTTTGTTCGATTTGGAGAAGCTGAGATAAGTCTACGGTGTTGCAGGTGCAGTGCCGGTAGCATTTCCCTACTATCGTGTTTAGAAAACCGAACTCTGGAACACAACCCAGTGGACCTGTAGATTGAGCTAGTACAATCATGTACATGTAGTACTGTAGCAGCAGCAGCAGCAGCAGCCCACTGCAGTACATACACTGTCTATCCACTGCACTGCAGTGTACGTTGGAGACATCACGCCTGGCTCAAGGTGGCACTATGTATGTATGTATGTGTGTGAGTGCAGTCTCCTAGGAGAGAGATCTGCGAACAGGACTAGAGCGGGCACGGTGCGTGGCGGACAATAGGCAAGTGGGTTTCCGGCGATAGAGCCTTTTTCGTGCTAACGAGATGCACAGCCGATAGCGCACACGTAGTAGAGGTGTAGCTAGCGGTGAAGCTTATCGCCCGTCTACTTACAGAACATGCCTCGCATGGCACCGCACGTCGCCGTGGTGCACATTGGACAGCGCAGTGACAGCTGGCGACTCGCCTTCTCACCCGACCTGAGATGCTTGGACACTATGTCAGCCATCGCCTGATACACACATACACGCGCGCGCGCGCGCGCACACACACACACACGCACACACACACGGGAGAGCAATGAAGAACAGTTCAAAAATGAACAGCTTTTAACGCATTGAAGAACTATCGAGCAATGCGCAGATTGTCCGATGTCTTACAGAATTCAAGCGGAGAGATTTCATAGACAACGACTGCTGTGGTGCTGGCACTTAGCAGAGAGTTCATTTTCCTAACTGGGTGATGGCTTGCAGCAATTCGAATTTCTGCTTACCTCAATGAAGATGGGATTGTCATTGAGACTCTCTGCGCGGATGATGTTCTCTGCCCCACACTAGAAAAAAGGGCGGAGAGAGAGAGAGAGCAGGAGAGAAAAAAAGATACATTGGCCGGACACAACCACTGCATTGGTCTACTGCCGCCGGTATATCCTTTGACTACACAATGGGCACCACGTGCCCAAGTAGGTGACTGGTAGCTGACACCTGTACAGGCCGTGTATTTCCTAGACTCAGTATCATACATGTACTACAGACTAGAGAAACATAAACACATCTAGCTGTTTGGCATGCTTGCACTTGAGGTTAAGATGTACTTCATCTCAAAGTACTTCCGTCACCTTGCCTCAAGCTGTCGAAGAACCTTTACAAAACTGGCAAGTTTTTTTCTCCGATTGTTAAAATACAACTGTACTATGTCACAGTACACTGAAACCTGTGTAAGCCGACCGCTCAAGGGACCTTCAAAATGTGGTCCTCGTGTACAGATGATCAGGGTCATTTGACTGGAAATAACATCCCTTAGTCGTAATTGCAGTGGTCGTTTCGGACAGGTGGTCGCCTTATCAGAGTGGTCGCATTGACAGGTTTTATTGTACATGTACTTGGTACTCTGACTGCAACACGGCATCAAATGCCCGCTCCCCAAACGTAGCCATTAAAGATTTCACACACACAATGGACTGAAGCAGTCCGACTAGCAAATCCTGAAACACTGACAAGTAGTACCTTCTTTCCAAGTTCGTGTGAGTACTCAATATCGAGCTCAAACAATGTCTCGATGTGGTCAGACGTGAAGGCAATGGGCACGAGCAGAAGGTTCTTCTGGCCGCGCTGACACAAGCTCTCAATGGCTTTGTCGGTCTGCGGGCTCAGCCATTGCTTGGGACCGACCTGGATAATAGACGAGGCACCAAGCAGAAAATAACAGAGAGAGAGAGAGAGAGAGAGAGAGAGAGAGAGAGAGAGAGAGCACATTGGTCCATCTCACATGATCACCATGTATCTCTGACCAGTTCCTTGGAGATCGCATTAGCCATGATGCTAACGCATACGTGTACACCGCACAACGACATGCCGTAACAATTGATCTGAATCCACAGAGGTGTGCTCGTACATGCTCAGCACAGTGTAGATAGGGAGTCAGGCACCTCAATGGCATGGTCTTTATAATAACGTTAGCACAAGGTCCAACATTTTGTTACCACAACATGACGCTAGCCGTCGTGCACATATGGCCATAAATACAAAAATACAAGTGGTGGGATGTTGCCAGCAGCCTTGAACACCCAGCTGAACTGACCTTGGACTGCCAGACAAGGCGGTATGGGTGCGAGAACTTCAGCTCCTCCATGACACGCTGGACGGTGGCGGCCACCTCGTGCGGGTATGGGTCACCACGCTCCACCACCTGCAAGGCATGACAGCAGCACAGTGAACACACATTCTTCAATCTAGTTGGCGAGCAAAACGGAACTTCAGCAGATGACCACCGGGAAAACATGAGCACCACCTATACATAGACGCTCATATATTATGGCTTTGGAAAATGCGTTCTTCATTGCTATCAGGTTCGGCCTCATTTTCTCTGCGCTGCGCTGATGAGTCCACAAAGGACGAAACTGTTCTGTCCGCAGACTGAGCATATACACTCATAGCTTGGTCCGGGACCGGGCACTGCCCACAACGTCGAAATGTCCGTAGCTCTGAATCACATGGGTTTCAATAGGTAAGTGTCAGAGGTCTGGCATGTGACGGCACTATGTCCACAGAAATCGGCAACCGAGTAGTAATATTTCCACTACAACTCACCCACAGGGTGCCCGGCAGACCGACGTGCCCGTAACGTCGTGTCCGCATAGGAGAGAGATACGAGTACACAAGTGCAGCAGATCATGTGTTTCAAGAAGAGTGCCGTTCATTCAGGACACTACGAGTTTTAAAGGAAATCCTGCATTGATGCAACAGCAGACAAGACATCGCCACAATACTGACCTGCATTGGAAGCGAATGCGCCGAGAACAGCAGAACGACCTCGTCGCGCTTTTCCGCCGGGAACTTAGCCAGCGCGTCACGGATGTTGTTGGCAAAAGCCTGCATGATGCACACATAGAAGAAAGCAAGGACCACTCAAGTCATCATGAAAAGCTAAAGCAGTGAAAAGAGGAAAGGGAGGGTGATGTGCTAACAATAAATGAACATATCATAAGCTTTAGTCAGCCAAACTCTCAGCCATCAGCATCCACGAAAGTCGCCTCTTTGCTCCATAATAAAACAAGTAGACCATCAATCTACAATTCAGTTTTTTTTAAAGCCCCCCAAGCCCCCCTCCCACACACACAAGTACACGCAAGCACACTACAAACACATACATACGTACTTTGACGAGGCCTTGGTGAACTGGCCATCGGTCAATAGCGGACCATTGCATGGTGGACTGTGGCTTGCTGTCGACGTGTCTGAAGATTGCGTTCAGACTGCTGCCTGTGGTGGAGCATGAGTACTGCGGATACTGGGTGAAGGCCACAGCACGTTCAATACCATCCCTGTGCAGCACATACACACGTACATAGACACATACACAGACAAAAACACACGCACACACACGCACACACACACACACACACACACACACACACACACACGTGCACACACACACATATAACACCACAACTTACTACCGCATGAAAACCGCCATTGGTCAACACATCTTACAACGCCAGCAGTGTACAGTGCACAGCACCAGGCGATGAACGAACGGAACAAACAAAAGAACGTCACCTACTTTTCCATTCGATCAATGGCATCTTCTGTCAGCGGGTGAGCATAACGAAATCCGACGTAGTACTTGTGAGGCCCTGGGCACCACAGAGTAGCAAACGAACACAATACAATGTACATGTACTTCAGACTAAAGTCCCAACGGGGGACACGCACACAACAGAATAATCAGTCGATACAAACTTCGCCGCCACTTCACTAGCAAACAAACACAATACAAAGTACATGTACTTCGAACTAACGTCTTAGCGGAACACGCAAACAACAGAATAATCAGTCAAGACAAACTTCGCTGCCGCTTCACTATTGCAACGCACTGTTAGGTACAATCTTGAAAGACTACCGCTCCAGATGGCACTCACCACTTGCACACATGCTACTTACTCCATATTATACTCTACTGTAATACGATTGGCATTGCTCCATACACCAATCCTAGCACGCACCGCTCACCACTTGCACACATGCTACTTACTCCATATATAACATTAATCCAGATTTACTCACTACTGTTTTCTGATGGTCGCTTAGTGCGTGAAACTCGAAGTAAAACACCTTTTTCATCCTCTTATTGTTTGAACTAGCTCTGCCTCTCGGTATTGAGCACTCTCTTGGACAGTCTGAAACCTCTCTGTTTTACTTCCTCCATATAGTACGATTGGCACTGCACCATACACCGATCCTAGCCCGCACCACTCACCACTTGCGCACACACACACACACACACACACACACACACACACACACACACACACACACGCGCGCGCGCGCTGTTGCTCACCTGTGTCAGGGCTATTCTTATTCAGAATGTCGATCATGCCCTGTGCCTGCTTCTCCGTCCATTTCAGGATTGGCGAGCCGCCGCCGATCTCTCTGTACTGCTCTTGGATCTTGGGTGTTCGGCGTTTCGCTATCAGCGGAGCAAGTCGGCTTCAGGAACATACAGCAGGACAGAAAAAAACAAAAAAGCGTATTGTGATCAGCCTTCAGGGTTCTAGCCAGGTCAAAATAGTAGGGGGCATGGGAAACAGTTACCCGTATCCCATTTTTCCACTTTCCGATATTGCCTTGCCACGCTAAATGCAAAGTGTGGGTCGAATCCCCAATTTCGCCCCCGACAAATGTGCCTTTATGAACTATCTAATAGTGACTTTCGACTACATTTTCGTTGAATTGCATGAAAAACACGAAAATGAGTAGGAGGCGGCACTTTTTCACGGGGGGGGGGGGGGGGAGGGGGGCAAACAGGGCGCTGCCCCCCCCCCCCCCCCCCCCCCCCCCCAATGCCCCTTTGGCTAGAACCCTGGTGATGGTAGCAGTGTTGGGAATAAGTAACAGATAGTTACAGCAAACCTTCAGCATAATGTACCTCCAAGGGCCATAACAGGAAAACCAACCAACCATACAAAAAGGCCGCTTTGGACCCTGGCTCTGCCAGCCTTACAACACCACTATGTGATGACATACGCCTATGGCAAATCCCGGGAATACCCCCCCCCCCCCCCCCACCACCACCACCAACACACACAAGGAAACTCAAACAGTCTCACCTAGCATGCAAACCATTAAGTTCAAAAGAAAATGTATTCAGTCACCTACCTCTGAAATGGCAGAGGAATCAGATCCCGATCGAGGAATAAACGTAGCAGAAAGTCGTGGACATCGTCCACTTTCTCAGGCCCGCCGAGGTTCAGTAGCAATATTCCTGTCTTGGGCTTCCTGCACGTCGAAAAGAAACCACGCACATACAAACGTGCAAGTACACGTACACACACACACGCATGCGACGGAGACATTGTCGTGTATTACATGTCAAGTGCTGCTCAGTGAAGGCGTTGGGATTTCGTACTAAAGACCATGAACTTGTAAGCACCGAAAAATCCCGCCAGAGCACCCCTACCTCCGCCACCCTTCGAGTGGGTCCAGGTGGGGAGGGGCGGATGGGCGAGTCCTATATGCCGCATTCGGTACTACATGGAAAAGAACTCACCCTACGAAAACTGTGTGTGCGTCTCGTACATCGACCAGAGGTCAAGAGCAGGGAGTCGTACAGACCCATCAAAACGCAGGGTCTGTGCGATCCCTGGTCAAGAGGGTGCGAACTGTTGCGTACATTTTCAGCCGGGTCAAGCATGCGTCTGCAGTGCGGTACGGCATCACACTTCACAGAGTCATATGAGGATTCTCACTTCCCTGACAAGAAGTCAGGAAGGGGCGCGTAGGAGAGACGGGGCGCTCTGGCGGGATTTTAAGGTAGTTGGGGGGTTTACTTCTGCATGCATTCACGCTCTGCTGGCCATATGTGAGCAGGCACACCACCAGTATGGCCCATGTCGATGCTCAGCTGCAATTCGATGACGCAGGTCTCCGGTTCAAGATTACATCATGATGTCATGGTACACACCAAAGTGACACAATGCCCCATATAATATGGGCCAATGCAAACGTTATCTTTTGTACTGACACGTGAATTTTACTATTCTTGGTGAAGAAATCTCCCAGCCTTGTTGAGCCAGGTAACACTGTATATAATAATATATTTCGGAGTGAGGAAGTTCCGGAATGACTTACGACGCACTCTCAGATGTCGAGGAGGTACTGGCGTGCCTGAGCAACACAGCTTGCTGACTAGTAGCAGCAGCACAGGTCAAAGTAGGCCTGCTGCTGGCACTGAAGAGTCGCCTCAAAGCTGAAGGAAAGCGAAAAAATACCGAACAAAGCGCAGTATCCCACCCTGCATGGTTGGTGCATTCTCAAGAAAAATCTTCAAAGAGGCCAAAAATCACACACCCGTTCCAGCCATTTTTCGGTATCCCTGTTGGCTCCACTTGCTCCGAATCTCGACTGAAGAAATTATAAGGAACGCACTAATTATTTATTGGTAAAGCATTTCAGTGCGAGGACGGACGTGACTTTGAACGTGAACGGGAATCTCATTGAAAACTGGCATGGTGGAGATAATTTTTGATGAGTCACTTCTCTCCGGCTCCCGGCTCCCTGCTTCCTTCGAAAACACAAGAGAAGCTGCGGTGAAGTCGGGAAGGCGACGCCAGTTTCAAACTGGGGAAGTCCCTTCTCTGTCCAGTGTAGTCGTCACAGTACAGGGGGGGTATGTAGACCCAGGTGCTCGAAGTCCGTACGCCCATAATAATGTCATGTTCTGTAATTTTTTCTTCAGACTTTTCCCGTTTGTCTCTTTCCCTCAAACCAGTTAATGTTCTGTTATTGTATTTTTTTTTTTTTTTTGCTGGCTTTTAATTTTGGGGCGCCATGCGTACGGAAACGCGCCGAAATTTTAAAAATGCAATCAATACTCGTACAATGAAAAGTATGAATGCCGCAGACATCACCACGCAACATGACAATTTGTTCAAGGTTTGGTTTTGTGTGTTTCCAAAATCGATTTTCACGTTCCGATCATCAGTGGAAATACGGAACTAAAGAGATCAAGGGAAAAACAAAGGTTAAAAATCCAAAGAAGTGTGACACATGACGGGTAACTTGTGGTAAGTTTTACAAAAAGTGAGAACTAAAATAAAGAGTAAGTGTGACAAACGGGCATGAACAGTGCAGAAACAACTCTACCACCGACACAACCAGAGCAAGTCGAACACACGGTGCAGAGGATGAGTGGTGGATCACTAAGCCAACCGAATGTGCCTTCTCCACCGTTGCCCTTGCCGCCACCGGAGCCACCACCAGTGCCGTTGGTGGCTGGGGTTTGGGAGGAGTCGGCAACAACAACAGTACCGCCAATCACAGACATTGAGCCCATTTCTTTGACACAGTATCCGGCTGTGCGGACACCGCAGCACCCTCCGGCGCTTGATCCGTGGGTCCAGAGACCACGGAGGTCGACCGCCAATTATTCAACCGAAATATATGCTAGGAATGGCCAAGGCCCACGCGGAGCATCGAAGGAGACCGGAAGCCGGGGGCAAAACGGAACACAATCTCGGGACGTAGATGAGGTAAAGACAGTGACACGGGACAGACGTAGGAAGGAGAACATGGATGGTATCAGACGACTGACTGGTGGTGAATATGAGTTGGGTGATGATGCGGCGGATGACGAGAATACAGATGACGACGAGGCGGATGACGGCGAGGATACAGATGACGACGAGGCGGGTGATGACGAGGCGGCGGATGAAGACGAGGCGGATGACGGTGAGACGGCTGGTGGTGATGGTGATAAAACGGACGAGGAGGAGTCAGGTGGCAGGGAAGGTGATGGAGCTGATGAGGGTGAAATTCGTAAGAAGTCAGCTGTGTATTTGCATTTGTTATCTCGTCCCGATTGTTTGAGTGTGTATGATGATTCCCACTTCTCTGTACTGTGTCGTGCCCGTTATGTCCAGCAGTTGAAGGTCCTTGAAGCTGTTTGTATTCGTACGCATAAGCCCGATTTGTGTAAGCAAAAAGAACATGTTTTAGCACTTAGGTTATTTTCGTGAGTTTGCACCCCGTGTTCATGAGTTGTTTCTGCACTGTTCATGCCCGTTTGTCACACTTACTCTTTATTTTAGTTCTCACTTTTTGTAAAACTTACCACAAGTTACCCGTCATGTGTCACACTTCTTTGGATTTTTAACCTTTGTTTTTCCCTTGATCTCTTTAGTTCCGTATTTCCACTGATGATCGGAACGTGAAAATCGATTTTGGAAACACACAAAACCAAACCTTGAACAAATTGTCATGTTGCGTGGTGATGTCTGCGGCATTCATACTTTTCATTGCTATTATTAAACTTTTATCTCCACGTAGATTATTAATACTCGTACAGGTAAATAATAAGGCACCCATATAGTCCAGGGGATGGCCCACGCCTGGTAAAAAGAATAAACAGAAAAAAGAAAAAAAGAAAAAATTCTGTTATTGTATTCGACTCAAATATTTTATGGAGGGGACAGTGTGGTATGTTCTCCTCGCGTAGCAATTTTCAGGGATCTACGATAAACAGAAGTCCCATACCACGCGAGTGGGTTTTTGCGAACTCTGCAGAACGCGTATTCTCCATTTTTTCAAATATATATATTTTTTTTCCAGTGTATAAAACAATTTTACAAATATCCACGCAAAACGAAAGCAGAACGGTAGCCAAAAATAATAATTTAGTGCGAAAATAAGAAAAATAAATAATAACACCCGAAAGCGCTAAATACAAAATCAAGAAAAAGGGAAATTATAAACCATGTAGCGCTAATGTGCACCAAATAATAAGTGGGTTTTCGAGTGTCCATACGAAATACAATTTTGGGTTACATTTCATGCAAAAATCAACTTTGCCAAGACCGATTTCGAACGGACACAGCGTCAAACAGACCTTCACTCAATCATCAAGAGCCAGTTTAGAGCTGACAATGGCCAGAGGAGAAGAATTTACAGAGAACCACCAATCCTTGCAGAAAGGTTGACACTCCTGGCATCTCCACCACTGTTTTCCCGCGGTTTTCACAGCGCAGCTGCTTCTTCTCTGAGCCGACTAAAAACGGCTTGCATTTCGGCAACAAACTACGCTTTTGCAAGAAATACTGGTGGAGGCACATGCCAAACATATCCCTTCGGTGCTTTCGTCGTAACCGAGGGATTGCAAGTTAGCAATTAGCAGAAATATGTGTGTATTTCGAGTCATCTCTGACCAGTACGGACTTAAAGGGGAAGTGCATCGATTTTTCGAGTATGGTCCAGAAGAAAGACAATTTGATATCGGTTCGAATGGCATATCTTTCGCTTCCATACGATAAGCCAAACTTGCCAAATCGCCAATTGTATACTCACGTTGCCATAGCGACCAGCGCAGTGATGACGTACGAAAGGCTTAGCTCCACCACAGAGAAGGTCGATCACTGCAGAATTTGGTCATTTTCAATTGGTTTATTGTATTCACGAAGTGAAAGAAGGGCTGTGTTCAATGCTGTAAGTGCAGTGAACTGTTTGTTAGTAGTCCTCTCGGTTGTGTACTGGGACGTGACACCGACAGGAGAAAGCTGGAGCGCGGAGACACCAGCAGACAAGCGAAAATAGTGACGAACAAAATGCTGAAATCTTGGTTGGGACAAATCAGACGTTCAGCATTTTCCCCAACCAAGGACCATGCCGTTTGCTCTTTCCACTTCCTGAAGGTGAATGTGATGCTTCCTGGCGACTCTCCTATCTCTCGTAACATCTTCTGAAGCCAGGTGAGACGACGGGTGGTGGAGATTGACGAATGAAATAATGTCGTAGGTTTGAAAGTTTGCTGAAAATGTCTCAGGAGAGACGGCGAATTCCAAGCATCTTGTCCTGGAGGAAACCATTTCGTAGGCACAGTCAGCCTTGGGAAATACATGAGAAGGGCGACAAATAGTTCACGGCACTAACAGCATTGAACACAGCACTTCTTTCACATCGTGAATACAATAAGATAATTGAAAATGACCAATTTATGCAGTGATCGACCTTCTCCTGTGGAGGAGCTAAGCCTTTCGTACGTCATCACTCCGCTGGTCGCTATGGCAACGTGAGCATACAATTGGCGATTTGGCAAGTTTGGCTTATCGTATGGAAGCAAGAGATATGCCATTCGAACCGATATCAAATTGTCTTTCTTCTGGACCCTACTCGAAAAATCGATGCACTTCCCCTTTAAAGTACCCTCTGCGACACATACATGTATGAAAAATCAGCGAACTCCAGAGAAACAGATCGGATCGAAAGATGGCCTGGTTCAATCGAGCCTGGCCTCAGAACAAACTTGGACAAGATACCTTCCATCCACGAGCAGGATTCTGGCAAGTGATCATTGCTAGTGTGAGTTTCAGCTCGGCAAACACACACTGTAAAAGTGTACGGACTTCGAGCACCTGGGTCTACTCTTGGTCACAGTCATTGCACAAAATGCCAGGCGCAGCGTGAGGAGAAATGCGATGATTATGTTCCACTCAGGGAGTCGTAAAATACCACGTATTCTACGACTCCCTGGTTCCACTGCAGAGAAGATCCAGTCTGACGAAAACTGGTCTTGTTTGACTGTATCTTCTCAGTTTCACGTGAGTCAAGAGAAAGGCTCGGACAAGACTCTCAATCAAGCCAGTCGAGGTAAAAATTATACATGTTATATGTGAGTGTGGGTAAATAACTTCAACTATTACTTCCTAAACGTGGGCCGCTGGGTAGAGACGAGACGATGAGCATGAATGATACTTGATAGATATGACAGATACCAAGAGTACTCTTGCAGATACCCATGGGGATTTTGTCTGACAGACCCCCCAAGGTAGGGTCCAGCGGATAATGCCGGCATTATGTATAGGATAGTGCACGGATCCGAGGAGAATATTTTTTCATAATCCCCAAGGCGCGCAGCGCCGCGCCGCGTTTCACACTTTTTTAGTTGTAAGCATGCAGGGAGTACAGTACTCAGTACGTACTTTTTCAAGCTCAACAAAAAAAGGAAAGGCAAGGAAACATGACACAGGAACAAAACACAATCTGACAAATGAAAAAACAATACCTGATCTTTTTTCTCTTTACATTGCCTCACCCTGTTATGGTTTTCTTCAGGGAGTATTGTACTACTCCCTGGTTTTCTTCTTGTTCTGGTGGGAGTTCAGGCGCCACATGTTGTGCCGATTCTCTCAGCCAATTAATTTTTGAGGGGGAGGCGGAGGGAGGGTGATGCCTGATGGGCAGTATGACCAGTGTTCAGTTTCCATGGCAACATTGTTGTTGAGATCGAAATTGATTGATTGATTTTTGATTGATTTTTATTTCACGGATCCTCCAGAGGCAAATAGATGCCTATCGAAGGGAGTCTCCTAAGTAAGTATGGAAAATGAGAAAGTATGTTCGTAAGGGAGAAGAGGTAGAAGATACATTAGAATATAGAGTACAGAAGAAGTAAATTCAGTACTTCGGGTAGTACATTGCATGCTAATCATAATGAGAATTAGAAAAGCAGCATTGCGGA